AGTGGTGGTGATGGTAGGGACAGGGTGGGACTCATGGTGGTAAGGTGATGGTGGTAGGCTGTGACTAGGTGGTGGTGATGGTAGGGCAGGTGGACCATGGTGGTAAGGATGGTGGTAGCAAACAATGATGGTGGTAGGCTGTGACTAGTGGTGGTGATGGTAGGGGCAGGGTGGGACTGATGGTGGTAGGCTGTGACTAGTGGTGGTGATGGTAGGGGCAGGGTGGGACTCATGGTGGTAAGGTGATGGTGGTAGGCTGTGACTAGTGGTGGTGATGGTAGGGGCAGGGTGGGACTCATGGTGGTAAGGTGATGGTGGTAGGGTGAGAGACAGCTGGTGAAGGTCAGGATGAATCTCTACTCTACAGGAAGGTGACCAGACCACCCTTGTTGTCACACACACACACACACACACGTTACATAAAACCCTGTAGGCCAAACGTAATGGAGAGCCAGGGGACCTTTCCGCTACGTGCCCAGCAATATAATGGCAGTAAATGTGAATTACATTGGTTGCAACACGGCCGCCATGTTTGTCTATCTGACCAATCACAACCGTAATCCGTAACTGACCAATCATAAGGACGTAATTTTTAAACCAACCTATCACAGACGTCCTATTCGTTTACATTCTTTTTTAAACTGACCAATCACAGACGTTTTAAATGGACTGAAACTGTTATTGACACCCGTTTATCTCGACCATTCACAGAGCAGTTAATATTTACGTCACTTCATATTCGCCAATCAGAGTCGGTGTATTGGGGCAGATAGGTCACTCACGGAGCAGTTAATATTTACGTCATTTCATATCAGCCAATCAGAGTGTATGGAGATGGTCACTATAGAGAGAGAGAGAGAGAGAGAGAGAGAGAGAGAGAGAGTGTGAGTGTGAGTGTGTGTGTGTGTGTGTGTGTGTGTGTGTGTGTGTGTGTGTGTGTGTGTGTGTGTGTGTGTGTGTGTGTGTGTGTGTGTGTGTGTGTGTGTGTGTGTGTGTGTGTACGTACTGACCTGATGTCCTAATTATTGTCAGCACCCCCTTACACACACACACACGATGTTTTACGTGTTTTTTTTTACCACCCGTGTTAACTTTTCCTACAATCGTGTCTTGACTTTCACCTTGCCTACTTCTAGGGCCTTGGTGAGGTGTGAGGGAGGGGGAGGAAGGCGAGGCAGAAGGATAGCGAGTCTCTCTCTCTCTCTCTCAACACATTACACACGAAAATTTCCTATTATTTCTATATACACATTTGGTAAGTATAGTATAGTATAGTATAGTATAGTATAGTATAGTCAGCTGATCGCAGGACTTTCACTAGCGGCATTGACTTAGGTGACCCGCTTGGACAGGGAGGGTCACACACACACACACACACACACACGACAACAATTACAGTGTGCACTAAAGGCTGTAGTTAAAGAGATCTGTTATTATGTGATGTGGTTTTTGTCATAATGGTATAGGGTTTGTTTACATCGTGTGTGTGTGTGTAGGGGTGAAGTTATAACACCATCATGCACCTTAATATAATTTTCTTGGTCATGATGATGATGATGATGATGATGATGTTAGCACCGCGTCTGTCAACATTGTGGTGTACAGTTAAAACCATCAAATCAACATAATGGTGGCAGAAGGGGTTGGCAGCTGACAACACTCGCCCACTGGCTCTTGACAACCACAACCACTACTGATAACATTCATGTCTCACGGTAGCCTATATACTGTACCTTAGCTCACGCACCTCTCTACCCCCCTCCCCTACCTCACGCACCTCCCTACCCCCTCCCCTACCTCACGCACCCCTTCCCTCCTGCCCTACCTTCCCTGACGCACCCCTTCCCTCCTGCCCTACCTTCCCTGACGGACCCCTTTCCTCCTCCCCTCCCTTTCCTCACGCACCCCTTCCCTCCTGCCATACCTTCCCTACGCACACCCCTTCCCTTTGTCTACTTCTAAAACCCACACAGATCTTATACAACTCTTCAGTCTGTTTAGTTCTTAATTTCCCTGAATAAACTTGGCATCGTCCGCAAGCATCTGTATGGAGTAGCTCCTGGCGTGTCATTTATGTAACGAACAAACAACAGCGGACCCAATACATTGACCTGTGGTACCTCGCTTGTCACGGGTACACATGATGCTTTCGTGCCATTAATCACCTCACAGTGCTTGCAATCACGAAGAAAGTCTCTGACCCTCGCTAGGACATACTGCCACTGAATCCCGTACCCTTCCTGTTTAATTCTCAGCCTTACGTGGAGGTCACACCGTCAATAGCCTTTGCATAGTCGAGATATACAGTATATTGTCGGTATTACCACCATTCCCCATACCAAGACCTGCCGACACATCCAAATAGGAGCATCAGTGTTGATATTCCTTTGTTGTGTAGTACCCTTGGAAATCCTTTAAATCCTACGCCGCAAAACGCCACTAGAGTGAACCATAATCCCGAGCTTAGTAGATGCTGTGGAGTCTAAAGTTGCCGTGGCCTAGTGGGGAGTACTCTCGCTATACCTCCAGCCCCCCCCCTCCCCCCCCGTGCGGTGTCTCGGATCGATCCCCGGTGCTGAGTTCAGTTTCAAGAGGTTATGTTTAGTGAGGGAAGTGAGATAAATGTTTAATGGGTATATTGATGTTAGGTTGTGTTTACCTCTCTCTCTCTCTCTCTCTCTCTCTCTCTCTCTCTCTCTCTCTCTCTCTCCGGGGTTAACTCGTAAGGAATAACAAGTTTCATCGTTAATTCTTCTCTTGAAATACTTAACACTTTTTTCTGGCACGCATTCCACTAGCCGGCTCTCTCGTTCCAGCTCTCCCAAACCGGCTTTCTCTCCCAATCCGGCTCCGCTTAGTAGTAGTACGGTTTGTGGGCCAGAAGTTCACCATGATGGCCGGATATGGTAGTTAGTTAGTCCATACATATAATTACTTAATGAGACAATTATTTTGGCCCCTCATCTTGTTTATGGTTGGGTGATCGACCTTTCCTAGAGTGTAAACAAATTACTTTCCCAGAAGGTTAGGTTAGGTAACCGTGTTTGGGGGTTAGGTTAGGGTGTGGGGGTTAGGTTAGGGTGTGGGGAGGTTAGGTTAGGTTACCGTGTGTGGGGGGTTAGGTTTGGTTACCGTGTGTGGGGGTTAGGTTAGGTTACCGTGTGTGGGGGTTAGGTTAGGTTACCGTGTGTGGGGGTTAGGTTAGGGTGTGGAGAGGGTGAATCATCAACAAAGGAACGTATGCACACGGTAATGAGGACACGTACACAAGACAATAAAAGTAAATATTCAGGACAATTTTCTTTATACGACTCAACATTTATTTCTGTCGCGTGATGTGAGAGAGAAGTCACTATACCCTTCCCACACCCCACTCACCTCCCACACCCCACTCACCTCCCACTCACCCCACCCCTCAAAAAAAATGCTATTATCAATCTCGTAAAACTCGGGTAAATTTTTTCATTGGTTACGGTTCAGGTGTCGTCACGTTGGTCATTACACTTACCAGGTATAATAACGTGTCATTACTTACCTGTTATTACTGTAACTTGGGGAATATACATAAAATCTATCTATCTATCTGTCTATCTATCTGTCTATCTATCTATGTCTATCTATCTATTTTTAGCGGTCTGTCTGTGTGTCTGTATGTATGTATTTATTTATCTATGTACATTTTTTCATATATCTATCTATTCATCTATCTATCTATCTATCTATCCTGAGGCCACCTGATCTTACGTAAACATTTCCTGGCCTAAAGAAAACAAATCCACAGTCGTTCCCAGGTGTTGATTAATTAGGTGAGTGACACCTGTGGCGGCTGACCAGAGAGGTACGTGTTAATGTGATACACCTGTGAGGGAGGTCTTAGAAGTGAGAGAGAGAGGTCTTAGTGAGTGAGAGGGAGAGGAAGGGTCTTAGAGTGAGAGGGAGAGAGGAAGGGTCTTAGAGTGGAGAGGAGAGAAGAGGGAGGATGGTCTAAATGAAGGGGAAATGGGAGTGGGAGGAAGGGTTTCAGAGGGTAGGGAAGGGGAGGGGTCTTAATGAAGGGAGTGGGGTAGGGGGGAGGGGAGGGGACAAGTACTCATAGCAACACCCCTTATACACTCGATACAGTATACCCACCACTGTATTCAACCCAAATTACTGTACTTACACCTGTACCTGTCACCATAATCAACCCAATTACTGTAACCTGCACTTGTCACATTAATTAACCTGTATCCCCCTCCTATGTATTCAACACCTGTACCTGGGCCAATACATCTGTCGGCTACGTGTCTGGGTGTAAATTAGGTAATGAATTTCTATAATGTCAAAGGCGTTATTCCATATATCGGATATAGCTGTAGTGACGTCCTGGATAACTGGATTAATGAGAGAGAGAGAGAGAGAGAGAGAGAGAGAGAGAGAGAGACCAGTGGCCATGTACATCAGTGGCCATGTACAATAGTGGCCATAGGGGTGGTGGTGTTCAGGGGGCAGTATCCTCTCTGTGTGGCTTAGGAATGTCACTCACGGTTTGGAATCATGAACGAGAGGTCGATACGGTACACACACACACAGAACCCACGTATACATACACATATACATACATAAATAAAATACCTTACACGCACACACAACACCACACCCGTCCACACATACATACATATACAGACCACACACACACACACACACACATACACATATTTCCAGACCATACACACAGGTACCACACATACATACACATCACATGCACATCACATGCACAGACCAAACATACATCACACACATACACATACTTTCCTTTTGCCTTCTATATTCATTTAGCTAAACAAACAATAAATAACTGAACAGGTCTATACACGTTCCTCACACGTCCCAGCTTCACTAACTACCCAATTCGATACGTGACCAAGACAGACAGACAGGCACCTACAGGAACCCCCCCCTTTAAGTGTCCAATGAGCGTGAAGTACATAACATAACATAACGTAACCTGACCAACTTACCTGCAAAATTGATGACCAGGAGACACCAAGCAACAGCGTCAGTCCACCTCATCTCTCAGGTAAACAGGTCCTCTCCTCTCTCGCTCCACCAGTGTTTAGTTATCCCGTATAGCGCCCTCTAGAACAAGAGATCCACGGGCGGCGGGCGAGCGAGGTGTTCTCCCCACGGTGTCTAGGTACTGACTGACTGACTGGCTGGCTGTGGCGAGTAGCTGTGCTGTAGCCCCTCCTACCTCCCCGTCATCCGGTCTGGTGGTTCCTTTGCCCTGTGACCACCAGACCACGAGACCAAATAGTGAATTTTACCACCGGGATTACGCCCTCCATTGATTCTCACCTCGCGAGAAAAACACTAATTTAACCCCTCCCCTCCCAGGTAGATTAATCAACATCAGGTGTACAGAACCCACTCACCTAACAAGACTCATTCCAGCATTAAAACCATCAATAAATGCTTTCTTAGTCAATAATCCATAATGTTTGTGTAGGTGTGAGTCGAGTATAGCACCTTGGTTCACCTCACACTACACCGCAAGTCTCCTCCTCACCTCTCATGTTACCTGTCTCCTCTACCTGATTATTATGGGTCCACAGGTGTGTTATGTTTCTCAGTCCTTATTTATCGATACACCTGTACTGTCTGTCTGGTTAAAGTTGAGTGTAGTTGATGTTGCCTGGGTTTGTTTCCACTCTCGTCTGCACTACACCACCTACAATATCATCTACACTACGTCAACTACACTACCAACTACACTACACCATCTACACTATCATATAAATATACGTTAATGTCTACACACACACACACACACACACACACACACACACACACACACACACACACACTATTCCTGTCAGCATTTTATCACATGGTGGTGTTGTAAGTACTGTGTGTTAGGTCAGGTTGGGTCATTCATTATCCTGAGTTTATTGTTGCTTTTGTTATTGTTATTTTTTGTGATTAATTTTGTTATTATTATTGTTGTTATTGTTATTATTAGTTATTATTGTTATTATTGTCATTGTTATTATTATTATTATTATTATTATTATTATTATTATTATTATTATTATTATTGTTAAAATTATATACATTAAGGTAACGTATCTTCTCTCTCAGCCAGGTGTAGGAGTCTCATTAAGGCTACTCACATGTAGTATATAAGTCATCAAGGCTCCAGGTGAGGTAGTGAGGATGATAGTGGAGGAAGTGAGTTGTAGGGGACCTGACCTGAACTGACCTTAGGATGTAAAGTGAGAGTAGACCTATTTGTGGTGGCCATCCTGCACTGTATATTGTGGCCACCCTGTATTGTATATTGCGGCCACCCTGTACTGTATATTGTGGCCATCCTGCACTGTATATTGCGGCCACCCTGTACTGTATATTGCGGCCACCCTGTACTGTATATTGCGGCCACCCTGACTGTATATTGTGGCCATCCTGCACTGTATATATTGCGGCCAACCTGTACTGTATATTGTACACCCTGTACTGTATATTGCGGCCACACTGTAACTGTATATTGCGGCCACCCTGTACTGTATATTGCAGCCACCCTGTAATTGTGCTATTACGGCCACCCTGTACTGTATATTGTACATCCTGCACTGTATATTGCGGCCAATCTGTAGGTATATTGTGGCCACCCTGTACTGTATATTGCGGCCACACTGTACTGTATAGGCCACCCTGTACTGTATATTGCGGCCACACTGTAACTGTATATTGTGGCCACCCTGTACTGTATATTGCAGCCACCTGTACTGTATATTGCGGCCACCCTGTACTGTATATTGTGGCCATCCTGCACTGTATATTGCGGCCACCCTGCACTGTATATTGTGGCCACCCTGAACTATATATTGTGGCCAACCTGAACTATATATTGGCCACCCTGAGCTATATATTGTGGCCACCCTGAGCTATATATTGTGGCCACCCTGCACTGTATATTGTGGCCATCAGCTCGTGTACCGCGGTATAAGACTCTGCTCCTTTGTTTGTGGGAAAATTCTGTCTCTCTCTCTCTCTCTCTCTCTCTCTCTCTCTCTCTCTCTCTCTCTCTCTCTCTCTCTCTCTCTCGTATAACAGTGGAAGAACAGAACCCCCAAATTAACTATTGACTCACAAAACTCGTATATACCCAAGAATATTACTAGCCAGGTTAGGTTTACGTTACGTTACCTTCAACCAACCAACAAAAAATCGAGGTTAGAAAATGGACGTATCTCAGGGCCCCATCCAGAGGTGATAGTTAAAAGTTTCTCAAGGTAAAAATTTTCCCCAAAGAAGGATATAGGAACAAATGGCAGGGTCCTGGTCCCCCCTTGTTGGTCGGTACTGATGGGGTCGACCAGCAGATGAATTGGACAAATCCCTAACTGGTCCATCAGCAGCAGTAGTAGTGGTCATGAATCAGGTGGCCCAGCAGTAGTGGCCATGAATCAGGTGGCCCAGCAGTAGTGGCCATGAATCAGGTGGCCCAGCGGTAGAGGCCAGGAGGACTACACCCAGGTCTTGGTGCAACAGGGGTGTGTACTGTATTATGGTCACCCGCTCCTGCCCGGGACAGACCATTGTTGTGTGTATATATATATATATATATATATATATATATATATATATATATATATATATATATATATATATATATATGTACGGTGCGGTTTCACATAAACCAGGGTTGAGACAGGTGGCCTCTCTCTACCTCAAGAATTTCAATGCTCACAGGTTGGCATCTCTGTCTCTGCAGGGACAAGTTGCATGTTAGTCTTATTAAATTTACCACACTATTGTTTAACAGTGGCTAACTCCTCTTCGCGCCTCGTGAATATTAGTTAACTATTCCTTATCCTTATGGGCACAGCAGACACTATACCCCACCTGATGTTTACATGTTCACCTGTCCTAATCACCCCAGTACTCCAGGTGTGTGAGAACGTACCCTAATTGGCTCACAGTGATGCAACAATACTTCAGATGGCTATCAAGATAATAGCTAATTTATATTGGGACTAGTGACTCTACCTAACACTCGTACGGTCAGGTGGGGGTCTGGGGGGTATAAAGAGTTATTGAAAATCCGGTTCTTGACTACAGAGGGCCCACACAAGGCTCCAGCAGGTCCTATGGTGGTTGGTATTTAGCATCTCCAACCTCTCCCTCCCCCACCTCTACTCCAACCTCTCCCTCCCCCACCTCTACCTCCAACCTCTCTCCCTCCCCCACCTCTACCTCCAACCTCTCTCCCTCCCACCTCTACCTCCAACCTCTCTCTCCCCTCCCCACCTCTACCTCCAACCTCTCTCCCTCCCCCACCTCTACCTCCAACCTCTCCCTCCCCCCACCTCCAGCCTCTCCCTTCCTTCTCTACCCATTCCTCCCTCTTTCCACCCCACCCCCCCGCCTCTTTCTTCATCTCTATCCCTCCCTCTTTCTTCATCCCTCCCTCACCATCCCTCCCCTCTCTCCACCCTCCTCCTGACTCCATCCCCCTCCCTCTCCATCCCTCCCTCCCTTCCTCCCCCCCTCTCTCCATCCCTCCCTAACCAACCTAACCTAATCCTTAACATATACAGGTGTTGGACAAAATCCCCTGGACAATCCCACACCCCCCTCCTCCAGTTAAAGTGTAAAGTCGTATGGTATTGTCCGTGTGTGTGTGTGTGTGTGTGTGTGTGTGTGTGTGTGTACGAAAATTCAGGTGTGTTGGACAGGTGTGTACACATCTACAACAACACAACTGTATGTTTAAGTACAGTGTTGGGAGTTGGAACTAGGTTTAGTGTTAACGTTTCCTTGGCACACACACACACACACACACACACAGGATAAGTGTCCTTGGGTCTCCATCACTGAGAAAAGCTTTAACAAAACGCTACCTAAAGCAGTGAGCTGATTGGTCGTGCACAGTAAAATACGCTAGACATGTATATCGAATTACACATAAAAGTCCCTTATTAATACATGTATACAATATGTATAAATGAGTAGATAAAAATACTGATGAACAAATAAGCGAGACACATGAACAGTTCCTCTTGTTCATCTTGGAGTAATGTAAACACTGGAGAAATGGTGTCACTGTTGAAGCAGATGGTCGACTCACTGACTCTTTACAAACTATAGAAAGATGGCTACGAATCTCAGGTGCTGCAAGATGTGATACAGTACTTCAGGCTAGACAAAATACTCCAGGACGGATCCAGACCGATACACGTACAGTACGTCGATGATAAAGGTTCCTCAAGTCTTTTATACAAACAACCATTTCTGCCCTAAAGTGTAATATTTACACCAAGATGTGACAGTGTTTTAGGGGCGCTGACTGCAGGAAGAATGCAGTCTTTAAATGTCTCCGGTGCCCCTCACATGACAACACTAAGGAAATATTCCCTTTCACTCGACGGGCGGGGGTAATAAACTTTTGGGTTCTTTTGGGTTACACAGCGGTGCCGCGTGAATGACTCTCTTCAGTTTCTACCACATTCTTTCCGAACTTGTCTCTTGCTAGGATATAAATGATTTATGTAGTTAATTGTCAATAACTACTTCATTATGATGTTATTGTATTCATATCACACCACACCTCCTCTTGAATTATGTGTAGTCGCTGTAAATCATCTGGTCCTTCAGAGTAGTTTATCGCACAATAGCATCGATCCCCCCTACTCACCCCTCGTTGTGGGCCGTTATCAAGGTCATGGCCGTTTTATCCCGCGTTCCAAGTATCGTACCCAACACCTACGGTAGAGAGGGAGACCGGTGAGTACGCACACGGAAACTCTGGGTACATATACGGTCAACGGGTCAACACGACTTGCCTCAGGCTACCTCAGGACTTCCATTCAAATGTGTACCATAACAGTAGTGGCCTAAATTAATGATTTTTTTGAAATAACATTTAATACATTTACGGAAAACTCTGTAATATATTACAAATTCTTTATTTAGAGATCATATATTTGTTTCTAACTCGTTTCAGGTGTATTAAAGTGGTAAAATAAGGATTTAGAGGATAAATGGTTTGAATTTACGCGCGAATCCATCAGGTAGCAGACGACGTAGAACCGAGGATGTCCTTCAAAAATGCAGACGATATGTTCCAATAATATCCTTATATTTTTTTCTCCATAAGTTGTGACGAAGTTACGTTATGAACACAATAAAACCTTTAATGTCCTAATTAGAATATTTTTTGTGAAGCCGTGTTGCGTGTAAATTTTTACGGAGGAGGATCAACGGTGCATAAATAATTGATAGTGCGCATACACCAAAGTTAAATGGCAGTGCTTGTCTAAACTCAAAATATAGATCAAGTATAACATTCTTTAATATTATGTGTATATTTCTCTGATAAGAAATAGGTGTTAATCCTCCCCCACCATTAGAGTGAATATGCGTAGGTTTTAGAAGAAGAAAGTTGACCACCAAAAAATAGAACCAGTCAAAACCAAAATGGCAACTATGGAGGGCTCGTCGGAGCAGACTGTATCGTGTAATGCGGAAAGATTAGTGCGTGTAGGTTATTATGAATTCGAAAAGACAATTGGGAAGGGTAATTTCGCCGTGGTGAAGCTCGCAACACATAAAGTAACACAGTCCAAGGTAAGGAAATTCCAATAAACGGTTTGTTTATCTTTGGTGTCCTCTCCTGGAAAGATCTTATCTTGCCAGATTTTATGACCTGGTAGCCTTATGGAGAGCGACACTGGGGGGAACTGTATGGTGATTATGGTGGGAGGCGAGGTAGAGGGAGTGGCACAGAGAGGCAGGTGAGGCTAAGGTTGAAGGCTCTCTCTACGTGTTTATATGAGGGGGGCAACACAGCCACCTGCCCATCACACACACACATACATACTTATACATGCACACATATACTTACACATTTTCATATATATTTACATATATACACCCACACTCACACAAATACTCACACAGACAGACACATGCCAAGGACAATATCAGTGGTGGATAAAATTAATATATATATATATATATATATATATATATATATATATATATATATATATATATATATATATATATATATATATATATATATATATATATGAATGGCAAAGCATATATAAATTGTGAGGAACGGTGAGTAATTTATCTCTGCGATCCTAACACCCATGTCAACACACCTTACACTCGTGCCGTTTTTTTTATTCGCACTCAATCACGCTTATTGTCGTTGAATCATTTTAATATCCAACTCTTCATGTTAATTTTTTGTATTTATATCATTTGTTATGTATTACGTTTATGTGATTTTTATATTCTAAGTATTTATAAGTATGCCGCCAGTTATATAGACCGTAGCTCTTCATTCGTTCGCAAGCGTAGAATTAATGGTAGTGGTCGATGTGTTACGGTGATTTGGTAAATGATTTGATAATTTAGGTGAGTATTGAGGGGAGGAGACGAGTGGAAGGACACGACTAGATGGACTGTGTTTTGGAGTGATGTTTATTCTTTACTTTGCAGATCATTTGTAAATTTTGTGATTTTAAGATGTCACCTAGAGAAAGAGAGTTGGGGCAGGGGGTCGGTGCAGAGAAAAAGTAGACTTTTAATTTGGCATTAGATTGGATCATGGACAACATTACAGACACTTGATAATGTAGGTAACAAGGCGGTTAATTGAACACAGAAGCTATTAAAAATTGACTGAATGGATTCTAGTTTCCATTTATCTCTTTAATGGATTGTAATTAACGTTTCCACAATGTTTCGTCCAATTCTATCAGCTCCTCCTGGTGTTAATATAAAAAAAAACTAACCTAACCGACAATAGGACTAATATCCACAGCGTTGAAATTATCGTATAAGAGTTCTTTGGGGCCACCTATTATTTTCAGTGTTAATACAGGTAATAATAATCTAGACGAATTTAATGGATATAATCACTACCCTGGAACATCATCCCTATGCGGTTCTGCTATTATAAGTGAAGTCTTATAATGGTGCATTTTACCGATTGGTGACGGTACGTTCGAAAACACGTGTTTTTATGAGTGGCATGAACGTTTAAAAATTGAAAGTCAACTTCTCTGCTCAGAGGGGCTGTTATGGTCACCAAACACTATCAGAGAGGAGGGGGTGTATGTGAGTGAAGGAATGAATGCCATTAAGACCCTCTGACTGAAGGGGTTAAAGTATACTATTCTTGTGAGTGGATGTTCAGAAACTGTGGGTTGCTGTACAGTACAGTGCAATATGTGTATTGAACCACAAATAACAGTATTATCCTTCCATCTATAGATGCTAATTTGATATTTCTGGTACTATGGTGAATGTAAATGAAGATCCTTAAAGAGTATTAAATAGTAACTGATATACTTTGTAGCTAGATATTATTTTCTGTAATAGCAGGATTTAATTTTTCAAAGGCTTTCCAAGGACCAAATGATGCATTTCATCACTAAATTGTCACTGTTGCAAAATTATTGTGAAATGTTTAAAAACAAAAGTCAGGGTTATGCAGCCACCTAACACAAAATCTCTTTTCAATGAAAACTTAATTCTTGCCCCAAGATTAAAGCAAATCGACTGGAGGAATAACTCTTTCCATATTCATTTATTTATTTTTTCTTGAAAATAAAGATGCTACAGCCACCTACTGCTTCATGTTTATGCCATGTGTGTGTACGTCTCTTGATAAACGCTGCACAGCAACCAACCGAACTCGAGTAGTCCATTGCGTTTGAAGGTTTAATCAGACAATTATCCTTTAAATGTATGGTGTGGGTTTATGTACAATAAAACAATATCCCCAGCTCTTGGCCATGTACCTTTTCTCTAAATTGTTGCCAAGTCCTTGCTTCTTACCATCTTCACCAAGACTAGATCATATTTCCTTCATCGCTTCTTTATTAGCTCTGGATTAGTGTGAGGGAAGGTGTCATCAACGTTCATTCTCTCTTGCAGGTTGCCATCAAAATTATCGACAAAAACAAAATAGATGCCGATAATTTGAGAAAAATCCTCCGTGAAATAGATATCTTGAAGAAGTTGAGACATCCGTACATCATTCGACTGTACCAAGTGATGGAAACAGAACGCATGATTTACCTTGTCACAGAATACGCCAGTTGTGGTGAATTATTTGGTAAGTTTACCGTGTCGTTGGTGTTCTTCGGTCACTGTAAAATAACTTCCGAGGGGCTGACTGACTGACTGACTGACTGTTGGATAATTTAACCCCCACCAGTACACACTACTAATTATGACTTTTTCTTATTTTTTCTTAGTATTTTACAATAATAACTACAGTACCTTAGTTAAATACTGTATCCTACAATAATCATATATTTTAATTTCTTCCTGTACAATTTAATGGCTCTGTTACACTCATATTTGTCACTGTTAAATTTTTTGGGTGCTATTTTTGGCAATGTATTTAATAGCTTACTATGCTGTGTCAAATTTATTGGATAGGAAACTCTTACTAGTCATGCCTATAGGACCCATTTCCCACCATATGATTTCTTTGCTAATCTTATTTTAATCCTGTTCTGTATAATGCAATGGCTCTTATTCAGGGTGAGCCACAATGATGTAACCCATTTTAAAAGCATGTCATTATTTTGCTTGTGAATTAATTGTGATTATTTTGGCCTTAAAGAAAACATAATAGATCAATTAATTAGTAAAAAAAAAAAAAAAAAAGTCCACCGTCACTCCCCGCCCCCACAGTGGTCACGGGGAGGGTGAAGTTTTGGATCACCGCCGAGACTCTCTTCTGGGATGCATCTGATCTCCATTGTACCCCACAACTCTCATTGTTTTGGTGTTGTTGGCATATAGTACTCTGGATTTAAGATGTCCCCAAAGGTAGTGGTCAGCTGGAGACAAATGGTGGGGAAGGACTCTCGGTGTGCAGTGGGGTTAACAGATCCCCTGGAGAGTATCGTCTGAAAAATTGCACAGTGGCATTTGGTGTGTAAGGGGGATGCACCATCATGCACTGGAGAACTGTGCATCTTCTTGTATTAACTGTCTCTTTTTGCCCTGCTTCATCTTCAAAGAAATGTGGTTCTACAATACCTTTATATCTGATAGCATACTAAATTATCATGGTATGACCCCAAGTGCCGAAACACAAGGTATTATTGATCAGATGTATTTTTGACGTATTTTTTTTTTTTTTTAATGAAAACTAGTGTTTATATAGTGACAATAGTCTATGTTATTAAGAAAATGTATATATAGGTAGTTTGAAACATACAGGCATTCTATTTAATTGTTAAAATATCATGTTTATCTCAGAACCTGTAATCTGCACAGGTAAATCATCGTAAACAAATTTCTCCTCTTGGTGGTGGGTGTTGATCCTAGACCACCACAATAGGTAGTCTTAGTCTAGTGGCTAAACTGCCTGACTACTAAATACCAATCATGGTGGTCCTGGTTCGAAATTCGGCACCCACAGGTGAGAATTGTTTACATGTCATGTTTCATTAGATATTAAGTTTAGATACCTGTACAGCATGTCGACCATCACTAGTTTACATGGCAATTGTCAGTTAAATATTGAACAAAAGAAATCAAAATACAGTCATCCCTTGGTTATCACGCCTAATTGGGACTGCGCCGAGTGCTTGATAACGAAAAACGCGATAACAAAAGTACAGAACCTATGGGATTTATTCTAATTGGTTCCAGGCACCCAAGACCCAACCCCAACTTTCCCATTTTATGACCATTTAGACCCACTAAAGATATAGATATATGTTATGGTAAATATCAGAAACACACATAGGCATGGCTAGGTTTATTACAAAGTGATGAAAAGGGTACGCTCAATACTGTAGTCCACAAAACATGTAGCTATGCTTTCTTTATTTGAGTCCCCCATCATAGGAGTCCGTTTTCTCTTGCTTCAGGACGCCTGAGTCCTCCGTTTTCTCTCAATCTTAGAGTGCACCAGAGACTTCGTTATTCCTTAGTAATGACACAGAATTTGAAATTGCAATTGTTGAGGCAACTAGATATGTCTGATTACAGCAAATGTGTTATTGTCAATTTGTAGGTGAAAGATTTTATCCTCAATAGTTGTAGGTGAAGCAAGGGGGTAACATTACACCTGGAGGCAAATGCGTGATAACCAAATTCTCGGCCTGAAAAAAAAGCTATAACGGCATGTGTGCAGATTTTGATGGATGCGTGATAACGAAAATCGCGACAACCAAGTGCACTATAACCAAGGGATGACTGTATGTTACGTCCTGTTGATAAGAAAAATTTGCCGAGTCATGTCATGGTGCCCCTCTGAGCTTCCTGGTGAGGCTTAGTGTTGTACAGTGTCAGGCTCTCACCTTTATATCTGTACATTTAGGCCTGTACTGTGCTGTGCTATACTCTACTGTACTATAGGTACATTATTTTGGCTAGCTAATGAGAGAACCCTCAACACCTAGTGGCATTCCTTACAAATAAAGGAGTACGAATTACCTGTTGCTACAGGATCAGCTGAGCAGTTATCAAAAAGGTTGGAGAGGGTTAGTCTGAGATATATCATCATTGTGTACAATATTTTGAAGAATAAAGATAAAATGCAAGATTATGTAAGCAATGGGGTAGTGATAGCATAAAAGAAAGAACAATTTCTAATTTAAAAACAATTCTGTAAGGTATATTTAATGCTGGTCTTAGGGTTAGTGATCCCTTGTACTGTACTGTCATGTCTGATGTACCAATATTTGTTGATTTTGGTTTATGGTTCATGGTTCCATAGATAAGTTTTATGTGTACACTTAATATTCTTTGATTATGGTCACTAGGTGCTGTAGCAGTGCAACAGTTTATGGATTATCTTCTTCAACCATCATTTTCCTATACATAGCATTCTGTTTTCTACAGAAACTTTGGTCTTCCATCTCTAATTTGATACTAGCTATTCATTTCCTGCTCATCTTTGTCAAAGGAAATTTTTGTGCCTATCTGTTCCAATCTCTCATTTCCATGAGCAAGGCTGATTAATCCAATTATTGTATGGTTTTGTTTAGCTTAAGCTTTTATATTCACATAAACTTCCTTCTATCTGTTGCATCTATTGCACCCTCATCCATTCTAATATAGTACAGTACTCCCCTATTCATCATTATGTTAAAAAATAATATAGAGTACAATACAGTACCACAATTTTGGAAGTACAGTAATATTTTTCTTCAAGCTCTTTATTGCCATGTGTACAGTGTCTTGTTCTTAGAACCTTACAAAGAATAGACTGTAAACATGGTAAGTTAGATATGTAATTGACTCTACCTTATATTTGGGTATGGGGATTCTTTAAAGTAAGTTGAGATACAGGGGCACATGAAAGTAGTTGTGGGGGGGGGGGGTGGATATGTTGCAATGTTAACATCTAGTGTTCAACAATAAATTGGAAATTAATTTGAATTTACCAGTTGATGTCCAGCCATTTATACATTCTTCAACTACCCAATCAGGGTAAAGCTGGCAGCCTGACTGTAGTTGTTAACCAAGTTCTTTATGATTTGTATTATCATTGGTAGTGGAGTCAGCAGTGATGTAATGAGGGTTTAAGTAGCCATCTTGAAATGAAAAGGTTAAAAAGCTATAGACTGTATAGGGAGCTATATTAGTACTGATACTGCTGAAAAATACTCGCATGAAATCATAGAAGCTGTTTTTGTATTACTTTATTATACAGTTTTATAATGGCATCGTCTTCTCCTGGCAGACTATGTCGCGGCACATGGTAAGATGAGTGAAAGAGAAGCTCGGACAAAATTCATGCAAATCGTGGCGGCTCTTCGATATTGTCACAAGCGTGGAATTGTACACAGAGACCTCAAAGCAGAAAATTTACTCTTAGACAAAGAATTAAATATTAAACTTGCAGGTAAGTGTTTGTCTTCTCTAAGTTGTCGTCATTGATCGGTATCAAACTTACTTTCCATTGTGAATCATAATCTGTATCTGATGAGTTACTCGACTAGCTCTTTGTTTAACCTATATATGTATACTGCACTGGAATCTTATTAGGTCACTCTTGAGGAGTTGGTAGTTTTGTGAGGACTTTAAATGGAATCATATATGGCTTGAATCTTCATTGTCCTATTGAATGTATTGTACTTCTATTTAGTTTGTAACGTTGTGGAACTTATGATAAATAAACACTCATGATGGGAACAACGTAGATACTGTACTAGACCTTGTGGGCATTCTTTTATTAGGGGGGGTTGGTGTGGGGCTGTGCTTATTTCATCATCACATTGTTAGTCCTATTCTCCCATGTGTTTCAGATTTTGGTTTCAGTAACTTCTACACACCAGGAGTCCTCTTATCAACGTGGTGTGGCTCTCCTCCTTACGCTGCCCCAGAGCTCTTTGAGGGTAAAGAATATGATGGACCTAAAGCTGATGTTTGGGTAAGATGTGTCCAGTTTGTTTGATGATATAAATGTAGATAAACTGTACATTGTATGCCTCTTGATCTCTGGCCACATGAAATCTTCTCAGGGCCTTTTACATTTGTACACAACTCATGTTTAAATTTTTTGTGGTCTTTCAGAGTTTAGGAGTCATATTGTTTGTGTTGGTGTGTGGATACTTGCCTTTCGATGCCAAAACCATGCAGACGTTGAGATCCATTGTGGTAGCTGGCAAATTTAGAATACCATACTTCATGTCCTCAGGTGAGATGGTGTCTGTTTTGTATAGAAAGAATTTTCCATAAATTAATCTGTGGAGGTCATGAAGGAAATTGATGAGAAAGGTTTTTAGCCTTAGTAGAGGGATGGGTAGTCTTGCTTTAAAGGATTTATAAAATTCTGAATTAGATTTTTTTTTTTTAGTTTTTAAGGTGCTAGATAATAGGCTGCAGAATATTTGGGAGCACAGGCTTCAGAATTTCTTATACTGTATCTCACTCTTTATTAAATAATCATACATACACTTTTGAGTCAGTATACATGTTTGCTTCAGTTTAGAAATACAGTGTATCCATAAATGATTACCCTAAAAACAGTATGCTCTCACAAGAAACAGAACTGTAAGTTGCATAAATTTTGCCAAATGATTCTTACATGTTAAAGTGGCTTTCATGTTATTGAAGAAGTTGTCTTCAATAAATAAAAGATTGGTAAAAGTTAAGATTACAAAATTGGCAAAATGTTATATTGGGTGTCTGTTTTTCTCATAGTTTTATGGTGAAAGAATTTCCTGTGTTGCATAGCTTATAAGACAATGTTCAAGATATGAATTACAGTATTAGAATTTTAGGGTAGAAGCAAAGTTTTCTTAAGAGTTTATAGAGGTTGGGTGTTTCAACATGAGGCCCAAGTTTTTTATATTGATGCTAATGATTTAAAATGTAGGCATAGATAGTGTCCTAAGGGGTTTGTGCTTCATGTACACTACACTGGTGGGTTGGTGATCAGTACATGTGCAATTTTTTGGTGATATTCAACCAGACTTGCCATGCACAAGTACGGCTCTGGAGAGTGGCTGTAGGATGTTGCTGCATGGCTTGATATATATATATATATATATATATATATATATATATATATATATATATATATATATATATATATATATATATATATATATATATATATATATATATATATATATATATATATATATATATATATATATATATATATATATATATATATATATATATATATATATATATATATATATATATATATATATATATATATATATATATATATATATATATATATATATATATATATATATATATATATATATATATATATATATGTATATGTATATATGTGTGTGTGTGTGTGTCACTAAAACCATCCCTCTACAGTTTTGGTGAGGCTGAACTTAAATTAGCATGTACTTACAACCCTTCTCCTCCACACCCATTTCTCCTGCTCTCCCTGAAATATCCTCATGGGATATTGTGTACTTGAGAGATCTACTGTAAAGTGCAGGGTTGTTGTGGATACATTCCCCACATGTGCTGTTTTCAGGAGTTCTCAGCCAAATTTAGCATGAGCCTTTGGGGTCTTTCAGGCCTGAGGTTAATAGTACTTCCAGAAGTTGCTGCAAAGAAACTGGAGATGTGGATGAAATGTTTATATGTATATAATTATTACTAGGGTAAATAGGATCACTATGGAAAGCTGCATGTGATGCTTCTCTACAGATGGGTGAAGTGTGTGTTTTAGCACTGGAGACTGGTTATGTTTTGCATGGTTAATTAAGTTGATGAGGAATGGTTAGTGGAGTAAGGTTCAGTTGAGGAAACATCTTATATACAAGTCTTTCATTTTCCTTTCTTACAGATTGTGATAATTTAATTAGAAAGATGCTACAAGTAGACCCCGAAAAGAGAATAAGTATAGAACGGATAATGCAACATAGATGGATAGCAATGGTAAGTGTCTGCTTTGTAAATTTGAAAATTATTAAGTACAGGTAATTGTAATTTCTAAATTCTCTCTGATTAGAATTATGCAATCTGATGAAAGTTATAGAATAGTTGCTATATTCACCAATTTGTTTGTTGAAGGTTAAAATTTACAAAGTACTGTACAGTGCATGGATTATGAAGCTCATGAAGAATGGAAATTGTGTTGCAGTGAGTGATGTAAACTGGGCACTGTCTCATACAAGCATTAAAGTGATTCATGTGAGATTTAAGAAATAGGAATGTTGAGATTATATACAGGATTTTCATTGTGAACAACTGGTTGTTGCCTGAATTGACCAATTTAGCTGACACTGGTTCAAGTCATATTGTTACTGTGAGAGTACTGATTTACAGTATTTAATTGTACTCAAGAGAAAAGTATAAATCCAATAATTTTAATTTCAAAAAGTCATATGCACTTTATTATCATTTAATTGCTAAACTTTGTACCAATTGTTTAACATTTACAAGTACAGTGATATCTCCGTTAGCCGGAATAATTATAATTGGTGCAGAGCTCTTCCGGGAATGAGAGATTTCCTGGTAACGGAGATATTACTATGTACATTAATCAATCACTGCTTGATCCCAACTTCTCAAATCTTATGTGGACCTTTGCCTAATTATTTAGTGAAAAACCAGTTACCGTATTTTTCGGCTTAAAAGACGCACTTTTTATGACAAAAATATACCTCGAAAATTACCATGCTTTGAGCAAAATTTCACTGCCCCCTAATGTGCTTACTTACATACACGACCTCACTTTTTTTTACCCTTAATTGTTAGCTACTTCCATTGTTCCATTTATTAACATTAAATAACATTATTTAAAACAACCATATTAATTTTTCTACATTAATTTTAATACAGCTACAATGGAGGACTTATTTTCTTCGGTTTTATAATTATGTAGAACCAATCAGTCACTGGTTTTGCAAAAAACGAGTTGTTTTTTTTACTTTTATTTTGTTTTTAAATAAAGATTTATTGTTTTATATAGACGTTGATATACATGTTTACATATGCTTACCTTCTACTGTTGGAAAATATTTCCCGTCGTTGTTATACCACAAAACAAGAGAAAGAATGTAAACACGACAGCCCCTAAGATGTGGAGGTGACCAGGTGTATAAAATGAGTGCTGTATTAGAGACTTCACCTTATACAGATTTTTTTTTTAAATTGATGAAAATGACGACTGATAATTAAGCAGTTCTAAGTGATGATATTCAAAGAGGTGTGTGTACTTGTGCCAAAAGGGCTGTATATCAAGCAACAGTTACACTGGTGTAGGTATTAGGCAGCTAATGTACCAAACAAGGAGGCACTACCGTCTGGGAAGATATTGGAAGCATAATGTATTGTCTAATGGTAGACCCTGCTGCTATGAGACCAAGTCCCAGGTTGATGATCTGACTTTCTGTAGGGTCTCAATGGTTTCTCTTACTTTGACAACACAACATACATACAGGTATATTGTTTCTCACTCTTGATAATTTTTTTAATTTTTGTATTTATTATTATTATTATTATTATTATTATTATTATTATTATTATTATTATTACATTTTCGCCCCCTAGGCCCCAATGTGGGTCAGTGACCTGTGCCCAGGTGGGCTAAAACCCGTAATTTTTTTTTTTTTTTTATTTAATTTCCAAAATCAGGGTGCGTCTTCCACGATGCAGCGTCTTCCAAGCCGAAAAATACGGTACTTCAATCTTGGAAGGGTAAACAGATCATAAGGGTTTAGAGTTGACCAACATTCACTTAGGTATGGTAGAAAAGGTAGATATAACTGAAGCTTAAAATGTAAAGTAAAATGTTAAAACATTATATGCTTTCTAGAGGCAAAATGGTTTTGAAAAGTGAATAGAAAAATAAAATTTGTGGAATGGTGAACAAATTGCAAACACTGTCTTAACACTGTGGTGCTGCATTATCAGTCTTTCTGGCTCCCCACCTTATATTTTTGACTCAAGATAAGATATACACATAAACTTACAGATGGACCATTTCTGTGAGTAGATAATGTATTTGTAGATATTACTAGAAATATTATCATTTTTATGTTGCATTTTTCTCCTCACAGGAAGGTATAGAGCCAAAAATTAAGGAAATCCTCCAGCACTACAACAAAGAGGAGTCTTATCTGCCTCCACCTGACAATGGACAGGTGTTAGAGCACATGATGCACATAATACCTGACCTAGATAGAGAAAAGATCTTGCAGGTGAGGGACGTGAGTGGCCTGAGTTGGGAGTGTGTGCTGATCACAGTGAGTCTTTTCTTGTGTAGTTACGTCAGCTGTACGAAGATGATGGATTTTTTTAACGTTCGATGTTCTACAAAAGTTGCATGTCTTGTCTTTTTTTTTTTTATTTAAAATCTAGTATGTTTAGTGCCTGTGCTTTACACTAAGACCTTTCTTCTTTCTTTAGTTTTTGTTCTGCTTGCTTTTTAAGTTCTAAAACAAAAGAGGAAATTACAGAATAATAAATCCTTTATAAACCTAATGAAGCAACATTTGTGCTTTATGATGTGCATTGCATAGGCACTATACCATACAATGCTTTTGGTATTGTAATGTAAACTATATATTCTCCGGTTGTCAGCCAGAGCTGTTTGGGGAGTTGTCAGATGTGTTAGCTGTGCTGTGCCCTTAATTCTAATGAGTACCTTCGAGTAATGTTCAGCCACTCTGCTCTACATGCTGGAGAGAGACATACACTATTGATATATACTGTACTGTAGCTAAATACGTACTGAGCCTCATGCCATCAGCTGCCTGTGTGTGTTAGGGATATGTTGCTGATTACCTACACACTTGCTTAATCATTATCGACCACCCATGTATGTCTGGATTACACATGGGTTTTACAGTTTCTACTCTGTGTTAAAAGATTTTTCCCGAATATATATGGATAAATACATTAGGGCATCATAAGGTAGCAGTTGCACATACCTTAACCCATGAGCCCAGATACCAAGTAAAGCTAGCCAGGTGTCACTTGTTGTATGTGAGCGTGTTATGTCAGGGCCACACACTGGCATACAGCTCGTCCTCTTGAAGGCTACTGACCCATTTTAACATGTGTGGGAGTGCCATGATCATCATAGTTCACAAACTGGGGAACACACCATGACAATTATAGTTTGCATTGCCATATACTTGAGCTGATATAAAACTGGTTAATCATTCCAAATTCCTTCATAATATGTTGTATGACTTTAAACTTGTACAATATAATGTTGAAAATGTTGTTGCCTTATGATTATATTAAGTGTTGCATGATGTAACTAATCCTGCGTAGATTGTGGTACTAACTAAACATTACAACTTCCTCAGTGTGTGCATGGGATGAAGTTTGACCACATTAGTGCCATATACCACCTCCTGGAAGAGCAGGTGGCAGAAGCTTCATCAGCTTCATCGTCACCCTCCATCGCCCTTTACCCACAGGCCCTCCCAGTTGTACCCACACACCACAGAAAGTCATCCATTACCACTGGTGAGTACCCCTCCCCTCTCTCTCAACCCTGGTGCAATTCTGAGCATGTACTTCAATTAAAGTGAGAGATATTGTATGAGAGTTAAGGGTAAGCATTAGCACACACCGGGTAATAGGCTGACTGGCCCAGGGAACTGATGGTAGTTCTACTGTGGTGGTGCTGATCTATTATTGGTTCTTTGTTTTGGCAGATTTTACATTTGCTACACTTTCTGTAGCTGCATATTGTCCATTTGTCCTTTCTCTTGATTTTATTTTATTTTTTCCAGTTTTATTTATTGCGTCTCCATTTGCTCCCTTTTTCTCACTTGCTTGATTTCGTTTACTTTTCTGCTTGTATATGGTGTCTGAAGGAACCCATCTGTCTATAAATATTTCTCACTTATCTGAAGCAAATATTATCTGCTTCACTTTTGTAAGAACTAAACTGGCATGTTTAGACATTCAAGAAATGTCTTGAGGTGTTTCTGGAGGGTCTGCAGTGGAGGACTTTAAGGCGTGGAGATTGTCTGTGTTATCTTAGACTGGAGTAGGTTAGTCCTTGTCAGGCTAGGTCATGTTAGACTAGGGTACAATAAACCTAGGTCAGGGTAGGCTATGATAGATTAGCGTAGGTTAGTCTAGGTCAGGCTTAGCTATGCAAGGTCCAGTTTGTTAGGTTGTGGCATCCCTTTCAACTGCTGTAGTGGAGGAACATACTGTAGTTCTAGATAGAATACTGTAGTATACAATTGGACCTCAGTAATTATTCTTAGGTGATCTGGAATTTTCACTTTGTATTAGTTTATGCTCCAACCAGCTGAAGTTTACACACAACTCAAGGTGGAAACAGCCAGAAAACATTTATAATTTTTGTCCTGTAGTTTTACTGCATTTTGTGTTCAAAATTTTAAATTCTTAAAAGACACCAGCCATAGAATCTTCCAAAATAAACTCATCTTCACCTTTGTACTTTCTTGGCTATTGCAACATTTTTCTACTACCACAATTAGTACTTAGAAAGATTATATTTTTTGTTTTTGTTTTGTTTTTTTGTTTTGTCTAATTAGTCAAGATATAAGTTCAGCAATATCACATACAGTATAACCAAGGTCCAGGTGTAGTTTACAACTACAGTACTTAGAAAAATCTTTACAATACATCACAATCTTCATTGTTTTTAGGTTTAAAGTCCAGAACTGATTATAATTTTGGCCTAATTTTGAGCACTAGTTCTCTGTGGGCTGTCTTTAGTATGATTTCATATAATTGAGTACAGGTAAACATTTGTGTTATTAATCACATTATACTCCCTCAGGGTTCGTTGACAGAAGTCCAGTCTCCGACACGGAGGAAACCCCACGTGCTGTGCCTCTGTTCTCGTGTTCACCCATCCCTCAAAATCTGCCCGTACTCCATGACCCATACCAGACTTCTTACTCTTTGGAGAAGGTGAGAGTCAATGTTTGGTCTTTGGTAAGAGAGGAACAGAAATGGAAGGGTATGAGGAGATGGGTGAATGTGTGAGAAGTGATATATGATGACTACACAATAGAAAGAGCAGTGTTTCGTTCAGAGATAATCTGCAGTGTAGACTGTAGATGTATTAGAATATTGGTTTGCTCTTTCCAAATAACATAGATTTTACCTTCCAGTATGGTGACACTGACATCAGTGGAGAGTCAGATACAGATGAGCCAAATCAGCGGACAGTAGACAAGTACCTATGTTCCAGAAGACACACTGTTGGCCCTGGAGACACACATCACGAAGAGGTAGGTATCATCAGAGGAGTGCCACAGGTTGAAGTTACTGTATGGGTGGTGTGTCATATACAAGTTCTCTTTCGTACCACACTTTAAGGGTCACGATGATATGTTGAAGTATCTGTGTGTCGTCTGTCATATATTCCTAGCACTGTGTGAGGTCTGATAACCTCCCTCCTCCCTCTTCCCCACCATGAACACAAGGATATATACCGCCCAGCGTGCGGTCGTCTGCAGGGTGTTAAGGTAATTCAAATGGGACAGCATGTAGGTATCCTAAGTAAAAGACGTTTACCCTTATATTTCTCAACTAGTTACAACACACAACATATGCTGATGTTTGGAGTCTAACATGGCTACTCATTGATCTTGTCATCATGTATGTTGTGTGCAAAGATGATGAATAAGCATGATTCACATAGATTTTTTTTCTAACATTATTATCATTTCTTTTTCTCCTGGTTATAATTGTGGGGTGAACTGAAGCCAGATTATTCAGTGCTCAGCTGAATACTTAGCTTGCTTTAGAAAATGGAGTGTAGAATTAATCCACAACTTTTATCCAGTGGTCATGGCTTTTTGTTTCTTCTGCCATGTGCTGCAGCTGCATGTGATTTGTATACACTTGAGGACAAAAAAGAAAGGAGTTTACTATCTCATGCTTGATTAAGATTTTAGATTAAAAAGGTTTTACACACAGCATAGCAAAAGCAGTTCTGCCCAGTTTAGTTCTCTGGGTCAAGGATTTTAGAGTGGCTCAAAGGACCAAGGAAATAATTACAGTACTGTATATGAAATAGTTGTTTTTAGTGACACTTGCTGTCTGAATCTGAAGTTAATTGTCACTTTGTCCACAGGTGATGGAAGCCCACATGCGAGGTCAGCTTCATTTGTTAGCTCCAGTGGGAATGGGAGTGATGAGTGGCTACCAGACTCCTCCCATGTCCCTCCTCCCCCAGACCAACCTGCCACAGAATCTTCCTCTTGTGAAAAACTTTCCACCACAAAATTTCTCTATCAAGGACCAACATCTTCTCAAACCACCTCCTTTTATGCATGCTGGTAAGTTTTAAGTAAATAATTTTAATTAATAGATAAGAGTAAAATGGCCTTTTTTCTTTCTTTTTGTAAGTCCATTATGTTTTGATGCACATTGAGAAAACAGATTTGTCTTAGCTAATAAACGCTTTGTTGTATTCTTCTTGAGATGATTTGATTTACATTTGTATATTTCAGGAAAGATAATGTCATATCTCTTCTTTATTTCAGTATTTTATTACTAAATAGCAATGGTGGTGGTGAGTGATAGAAACAATAATAAGTGATGGTGATAGTAGTAGGAACAGTATGTTAGGGGGAGAATTATGTTGGGATAAGGGAAATAGAGAGATCAAAGGAGGTGTGTGGTAAGAGGGAGACTGAGACCTTTAGATAAGTAGTAGTACCTATTTATCACATGAAACTTAATTTGTCCCTAGCTGGTGGCTTGGGAAGACGAGCATCAGATGGTGGAGCCAACTTACAGATGTTCTTTCAGCGTCAGTTGCCAGAAGGAGGCTGGAGTCATCCAAACAGTCAAGAACAAATTACACAGGTGAAACCACACTCAGAGCTGTTGAACTTTTGTAGAATGTTGTAATTGAATCAATTTATGGTAGTGGACAAAATTTTATTTTGTGCTTTTACCACTCATTGGGTTCATTTTGCATTTCAAATTCATACTTTATTTTTGTAACGTTTGGGATATTTTGTCTTGAAAAAATCATCTTCCTTGCAGTGTTTTAGAACCAACTTAGTGTTAAACTTATGCCATTTCTAAATCAGCCCCAAATAGCTTGAAACTTGGCACAGTATTTGTAGTCTTTTGAGTAAAGAGAAAAATCCCATGTATCATGTCACATGAATTTCTGGCTTTGCCATGTTTGAGAACCCCTGCCCTAATGTACCCCTCCCCCAAGACCACTTGCTGCTATGATTTTTTCACACACACACCTCTGCTTCCTTTTTATCCATCCTCCTCCTATTTATTGTCATCCTAACTCCATCTGCTTATCTCTTCTCTTGGGGGGGGGTAATACATTAATTACATTACATTAAAGTAAAAAAAAAATCAGATTATCAACTACACACATGCTTCATTTATGTACTTATAACATCCTTGATATATTTTCAGCTGGGTCTTGGTGCCAGCTGCCTAGGGGGTCACTCTCAGCCACTACCTCAGCAAGATGATGACCTTTTGGGCCACAGAGATGACGAGATCGACCCCAGCGATGTTGCTCAGTGAGTTGCAGTTTAGGACGTAGGGGCACCTAAGGCAGCTCCCCCACCCTTGTTATGATTCTTATCTCTATCTCTTTCTGTATTTGTCTGCTCATACTTGATTAATGTTCATTATCATAAATAGAACAAAGGAATGAAGTTAAACAATTAGTTGAGAAATAGTTGTCATTGCTTTCCCATACACTGTACAATTATACATCTTTGAAATTGTTCGTATTTCACAGATACAAGCAAGTATTAGGAGATTTTATTCAGATATAGAAAGATGGATTCCAAGATGCTGACATGTTTATACAGTATATTCTAAAAGTTTTCATTGTGTATGAGTATCACTGAACCAACCAGCTGTTATGACAATGGGTCAGTCTTTTACTTTTTTTTTTTTAGCTGGGATATTGTTAATTGTTGAGTGAGAAGTTGAAGAGGCTGAGGAACTAGGGGACATGGCTTATATATCATAGATCAGTAGATAAATGGGACAGGCTACATTGGCAGTTGAAGATCTTATTCCTAGAATAATTTAAACTGGTCCTAGATTCCAGTTGAATCATTTTGTTTTATTGCTGCTGTTTGACACTGAAATCCCTGTTTATTACCCCATCTGCCCTTCAGGTATATGTCTGGCAGAGGAAGAAGCCAGAGAGCAACGTTACCACTGGTTTCGCCCAAAGACGTCCAAGAGCCACAGAGAAAGATAACTCCTAACAGAGCAAGAAAAACTGGCTTGCCAATGGTGACAGAGAGACCACCTGGTAAGGCATATCAATATTATATGATAAGCAAACATATACTAACAGTTGCCTTTATTTAAAAATTTGTCGTGTTTGGATAATGGACACTGTTCTAACAATTTTCTTTTGGCACTAAGTTTAGTTATTTGGTTGGAATGGATGGTAGCTAGATTTTTATATAACTAAATTTTTTTTTTTATTAATTTTTAGTTTGCTTTCTGTTAATGAGAAGCTAAAGTTGTGAATGTTATATTGTGGCACCAGTACCTGTTCCATTTTGGGCCACATTACTTAATGTGTGTCAAGAGTTTATCATTATTTTATGCTGTATACAGTTTTTATTAATACCAGAGGCAAGCCCTAATTTTATGATGCACTTCTTTGTTTCATTTAGTAGTAGTTGTGTGTTCACATGACAGCATGTTGCTATGTGTTGGAGTGTACACTGCTGGTAGTCAAAGGTGCATGATACTTTGGTTTTTAGTCTTTTATTTTATAATTTATATCATTAGCTACTTTACTTTTATAATTTTTTTCTCTTGTATTTCGAATTTTACTCATTTTGTTTGTTCTCTCTTACCTTCCTTTATCCTTACCCCTGCCTGCCTCTGATGCCTGCGTGATGCCATTTATTATTTGCTGACTTGGCCCATTGTTTTCGTTTAACTTTGCTTGCTTGATAATTGCTCATACTGTATCTTGCTTTTTTGGGGAATCGTTGATTGTATTCCCATTAATGTAACATTTTTGTTTAAAAAAAATTTATGCCATGAATTGCAATCAATTTTGGTTGTAAATAATTTTTATATTATTAATCTGGTTTTATTATTACTACTTCAATATTATGTCATGTCAACTTGATCAATGGTACTTGCACACAAACCTCATGTACGGCTGACTAATAGTAATCAATCCAGAATTGATCTTGGAAGCTGAGGAACGAATGAAACGGGACTATGTGACGTCTCACCTGCAAAACCTTTATAATAATGCCTTGTTTATGGGACCCCCGTTACCCTCGGGCATCACAACGGGCATTCCTCCATCTTCGAGTGCAAACTATCCTCTCAAATCAGGCATCGTATCAGGCATTCCCCATCCTCAATCCTCTAAAAGGCCTCCATCCTCTACTCCTCACAGCCTCTCCAACCATCCTTATATTGGGTACAGCTGTTGCTCTCCACCCCTTAATTTGTCTTCCTCCTCATCCTCAACCTATGGGCCCCAATCCTGCACTTCCTCTTCCACTTCCTGCACCTCGTCTTCCCACTCCTGTCCCTCCACAACCCCAGGAATAGTCTCAGGTATTCCACCCCATAACAACAACAACAACATCGTCAACAACAACAATCCATGGCCAAAACACAGAGATCGAAAGAGAAAGACGGGTCTTCCCACAGTGCTGGAAAATAACTGGCTTGTTTCGGCTCCGCAAGAAGCGACCGAATGCACCACAGTGGGTAATTATAATGGGCCTTAGCCGTGTTTTGGTGGTTGGACGAAGCAAATGTGGCCTTTCAGGTGGCGGTGGTGGTGGTATGTTTCCATAGGTGACTGAGAAGAGATTCTTCTTCACTTCTGGCTCTACTAAAGTAAATTGTAATTTGATTGTATTAAACCAAATAATTATTTTACTGAGGTAACTTCCAGTTCTATAAGGTAAATAATTGACTATTTTTGTCACAAGTTTACTTATAAAGCCCACTGTGAATAACTGTATTATCCAGAATTTTGTTTATATTGAATTAAAAAAAATATTCCTGCCTTTTGTCTTTGTTATTTAAAATTTTCTCTTATCACCTACATCTTGTTCTTTAATTTTGTAATCTTTCTTATAAATACATTCTTACACTGTAAAAAAGGACACATTGATATATCCTTATTAGTTTTGTATTGGTCCCTTCTCAGTCTTGTGCATAAGATATCATAAGGAGGGATGAATGAATGTTAACCAAAGCTGCATAACAAGTAACATATACAAAGTTCTGGACCTGATGAACTTTTGAAGGTTAAAGTCAATTATTTAAAAAAATGGTTGTGTACAGTACAAGGTATTGGAAGATTGTATGAATGGATGATAACCGTATACTGTACTTAAACAACGTGAGTTCATGGGTCATAGTTCAGTATGTTAGGTCACTTATACTGAGGTATAAGTTAAAATTTGAAAGTAGGTCTGAAGAAGTGAGGGATGAGTCTGTTCTTTGTGTGTGTTTTGAGCTGTTAAGCAAATGACAGTGAGTAATGAAGTGAGTTCTTATATGATTAGGCATAAATTTAAATCATATTAATTATTTTTTGTGTATTGGGTGAATGATAATGTTAGTTCAAGAATAATTTGAATTGGCTCAGATGTCAGTTCATTTGGCCGGTGTTCAGTTCAAAGTGAAGACCCAGTGTGTGTGTGCATGCCAAGGGGGGATACCCGTACAGTACTTTACTTATCTTTTTTCTGTTCTTTTTTCTTTCACTATTATGATTTGTTGCTGGTAAACTAACTTTTGGATAATACTTTAATTTTTTACTTATACAGGTTTAGGCTGTTCAGAATAGTAGCCTCTGCCCACAGTTAGTTCAATTTACATCTTTGGCATTTGAATACAGTGGTGAAGCATCCTAGGTAGGCCAGCTTACTCTGGTTTCTGAAGCTACCGTGCACAACATGGTTATCAGAGTATGTGTAACTTTTAAGCAGTGTGACTCTAGTTACTACTATGGTCGTATTTTTAGTTTTATTAATTGAATTACTTTTAAACTTTACCAAAAAATATGATTTGTGCAAGCATATACAGTATATCTTAGTGCACCTTGCATGCTGTGTGCATGGCGGGTTGAGTTTGTGCTGTTTATCTTTGTTCTTATAAATATAGTAGTTGCTTTCCTTGAATGTTGAATGATCATGAGTGATTGCATGATTGCTAATGTTGCTGTAACCCTGTGAATGCTCCCATAACTCTCTAACTGTTAAAGAAGCTCATGTGAGATGATCTGACATTTAGCAGCAAGGTTATTATGGATGAAGCATGGTGATAATAAGCAAGGTACTGTATTGTCTTTATCCAGACACCTAAATGGATACTCTTGAGTTCTTTCAAAAGCTGCTATCTTATCAGCGCCACATTTTGAATGGATCCTTGACTTCAGGTGAATGCTGTGCTTTATGCATACCTTATAGGAATCCATCCTCTGCCCACTACTCCAGCCCCTCCTAACTACTGTCTTCAATGTCTTCATCTACAGTACCTACACCACAACCACATCCTAAGAATGAGAAAATAGTTACTTCACATTTATAATGAAGTGAAATGACTTTATACTTAGCAACACATTCTGTTTACTTTAATTTATTCAGCTCTATTTAACTAAGGACTTAGTCTTTGTTGGACCTTCAAGTAAATTACACCATCTTTGAACTGCACACATTTTGTAACTATTCATTGCTCACCCACTCACCCTCTTTACTCATATGTTTACTGTTCATTTTCAATAAGTTATGTTTGAACTGTGATCAAATACTTCATGCATTTATGAATTGCAAGTGATCACTTGAATAAATATATTAAACATAATGGTTGACACTTAAATAAGAGAAGGGAAGAGGTCGCCAAATTACGAGGTCAGACCACACCTTGCACGTTCCCTCTGCTAAAATCGTTGGCATACTTAAAAAAAAGTTACCCTTAAAGCTAAACGAGCAAGTGCTTGTTTAATACAGTAATGAGAACTAATCTGGGGATCATGATGTATGGGTTTTGGCATTTTCTTACACAGAGACATCTAGCAACTTGCTTGGATTTCCTGCCCCCCTTTCACCCCCCCGGAAGCTCTCGTGTGGGAACAGTGAATAGTTGTGCGTGGGGATGAGATGCTTCCCCGTTTGCTATTTTGTTATAGAACAATTCATATATTTATCCACTTGTTTATTAATCACTCTGTCCAGTCTATCTATCACTATCCAGTATGATTATCATTCTGTCCAATTCTTTATCTGTAATTCTATTTAGTTGTTTATCACTATAGACTTCGCTGTACAGTATCCCAGCGATGATGATGTTTTCTCTCAATCCCATGACACTGTACATACTACTATATATGAATGTCACCACCCTTGAAATTCATTGTATGGTGATCACTATTTACAGTACATAGTATTCCTTGGGGTCTAAACTTCACTACAACCTAAAGACACAAAGAACTAAGATCTTGGGAATTGAAACCACCCAGATGCTCACCATTCACATGCAGCTTAATCCAAGAGGGTTATCCATGTGATATTTTGCTCAAGATCACAGGAGCCTGCTGCAGCTCACCCAGTTACAATGTAAAGCTGTTTTACTGTGCAAAGTTGATTTGAATACCTTCTAACTTTTGCTGACTTTGGCCTCTGCAATATAAAAGTAAGGCAGTAAAAGTTTTGAAACTATTTCATTGGGTATACAGAGGCAGGATGGCCTGGATCAAGTGAAAACACACACACTTCCTCTTTATTTGATGTCATTCATTATCTATTACAGCAGTTACAGAGTGAATTATAGTGGATAAAGGGAGAGTATTTATTTACATTTAATTCCATCCCACCTGTATTGTAGAGGAAACAAGTTCACAAAAATGACACAAAAGTAAACATACATTTACTGCTGAATTGTATTAATGGACTCATAGATTGACATATTTGACTACTGTGTACTATGTGAAAAATTCCTCCCCTTAGGACAGTAAGACTCATGTTGTAAACAACTTTGTCATTGATCTCTCAACATTTTAACTTAGCTGTAAAAAATGAACACACCAGTTTGTTCCTTACTGTATATAATTATTGATCAAAAGTTAGATTTTACTGACATAAACATTGTGTACATTATAACTTAACTAATGTATCATATTTTGCTGTAGTTGACACACACAAAGGTTGTGTGTTTTAGCAGGTGTTGGTGTTTAACCTTTTGAGGATAAGTGACTTGGTCAGATATGATCACTTTGCCTGACACTTGTATAAACCATCCTTAGAAATTGATAACTTTTGTTGATAATTTTGTGTATTAATAAATTTATAACAATGTATGAGAATAATATTAACTGCAAAGAAAGTAGGAGACTCACTTATTGGACTTGTCTCTCCCTATAAAGTGCTACTTCAGTATAAGTTTAATTCTGTAAAGATAGTACAAGGAATGATGTCTAGTTCATGTCTGGCTCATATCTTTCCCCAATAATTAGACATATTTTGGGCTTTTACAGGTCGAGACAACTATAAGGATTCCATATATCTCACCTCTGATCGGTACTCTCCAGGAAACACTGTACGACGCGCGTCAGACTCTGCCACCTTCAGCCTCTCTAACATAAATCAAGAATTCCAACAACTTCAGGTATCTCTCTCAACTCTCTGGGTCACTTGTTTTTGAATGCTTATAATGGTATCATGTTTTATTTTATTTGACTGTTATCTTTTTTTTTTTATCAATATTCACTAATAGTTGACTAGTTGCAGGCCTGGCTTGGATCTTAAGTGTCTTTACTAGATGGTTTTGTTGAGTGAGGGGTACAACACCGTCTCTTGCAGTGGTTTGTCTCATATCAACTACTATACTTCATTTAGTTTCTTCGGTACTACAAGCCCTCTCCCTGTACACTATGTTGCAGGGTAAGAGCTTGTAGGAATGAAAAAACTAAATCTAGTACCATCAGGTTGAGTTTTTATAGTTTGTAGATAAATGATAAGTGGTTTTTTAATTAAGAGTATGTATGCAGTTTAAAAATTTCCACTACCCCCATTGTTTCTTGGTACTGTAATGTTATATATTTTATTCTCCATGTTGGACTTGTACTCACAGGGAGGAGCACCAGGTCTTTCTGGGTCACTGTTATTACCAAGAGCAGAAATGACTTAAGTTTTTGGGAAGTAAAAGGTAATAAGTTTTGATATAAGTAGAAAGATTTAATTCACCTTTGACTTGATGTATTATTATGTTTAATCTTATATTTTTAATCTTTTGTTTTGTTGTTATTTATCATTAATTTCTTTTTATTACACCTCGTTTATAATTTTTTTAATTATGATGGAAGCCTTAATAACGATAAAATAATTATATCCTATTTTTTTTAGTCAAGGAGATGGGGTGCTGCAGGATTTGTGTTGGGTTCTCCTAAATTGATAAGGGGGCTGAGTGAAGATAAACCCACCGGATGTATGTTCTCTAGCACTTGTCAGAAATCATCAGTTTAGGGCTTGCTGTGTCATTTATTAGGTGACCTCTTATAATACAGGGTGTCAGTGTTTGTCAGGGTTATCCTACAGTGTTCCTAGTACAGTACCTCCTCTTCCTTCATGTCTAGTCAGCTTTGAATTTCAAGAGCCAAGTGGTAAAGAACCTGAGTTAGAAATATAGGATTGATATTCCTTTTACTGGCAGAAACTATTTCCATGTGGCTCAGACTCCCCAGGTGTTGTTACTTGTTTGGGCTAGGAACCGATTCAAAGATGGTGCCAAATCCCTGGGTTTGTTTGGATATATCAGGTGAGGTTGTTGTCTAGTCATATTTATGCTCTCCCTCCTTCAATTTTTATCTTGTAATAATCTTTTTGGGTTATTTGAGCTTCATGAGGCAGTCTTGTTCTCTCATTAATGAATATTTCTTGATGGATTCATGTTAGTGTAGGTACATACAATTGTATCTTCTGTACAGGTATTTTCACTGTCAGTGGAAATTCTTCAGGAAATATTTGAAACACTACTGTTGTGTATTATCCTTGTGTTGTGAGGTGTTAAAGTTGTAACAGTTTTATCTGGGGTAAAGGCTTGGCCACATAGTTTTAAACATTCCTTTCCATTGACGGTGGCCTTCGTGTTGACAACCAAAGTTTTAAAAATTTTAATAGCGAAGGACACTGCATTATAGCACTTGTCAGGGAGGTATGGCAGTTAAACTAACTTATAATGTTGGAATTAGCTCATTTTACCACCCCACACCTTCTTGTTGAGCACTATAGTGTAGTGTCCTTCGTGACTCTAAATTCTTAAAACTGGGTGTCAACACCAAGAGACACCTGTCGACAGAAAGGGGTGTTTAAGACTACGGGGTTGGCTCTGTGCTGGTGATGACTAACTGGATGGAAGTGGAGTTTATGTTATTGTCCTGTTAACTTGTCAGTATAGTACTTAAGTTTGAGTTATTTGTATATTTATTTATATACTATATCATGAAGTATCTGTGGTTGATGTATCATTTTTTTAAAAATGATTCCAACTTCCACGGACAAATTATTTTTCTTTTACAAATGAAAAGGAAATAATGTTTATTTCTATATACTGTATTTTATTTATTTATTTTGATTTTATCCATAAGACTATACCTCTTTACTGGTTGCAAATTTAGGTTTTATGAATCTTATTATTATTTTTAATACTCATAAACTTATTCAGTCTAAAGTAAAAGTGAGGTGTGAAGCTCAATAAGGCACACGAGGAATGATATGCTCATACAGGCTAATAGGACATCCAGTGTGGTAAGTTGGTGCTCATAAAGTTGATACATTTTTTGTACATGCATGAAGAAGATTTTCCGCTGGCGATAAGTCAAGATTGTTTTGTTTCTTGAGCGATGCTCCACTTACAGGGATGTATCGCGCGAAGCCAGTCCCGCTCCCGGTTATGGCCACCCTCTAGTATTCGAACTGGGTCTCCTGTATCTGGTTGTGCTCTTTGTGGTGCTCCTCTAACTGGCTCATCAGTGGCCAGTCGTGACCGTATGCCCAGTTCAGCCCCATTAGTGGCAGGTAGACTAGGCTGGGAAATGGTTCAGCAGTGTATACAATGTGACGGCAGCGGAAACGGACCCAGTTTTCAAGTGATGCTTGAAGGTTTTGTCCAGGGGCCATAAAGAGAACGTAGAATAACCTACCTTGGTGTCCTTGTAGCACTTAGCCCATTACTCTAAAACAGTCGCCAGGTATTAGAATGTTTCGTGTCTTATTAAACAGAAATTCTACAACTTCAAGCATACTTTGAAAACTTGGCCAGTATTGTTTGTAAATGGGTATTGCATCTTCATATCCCCTCAGTACACACTTTGACGTTTATTCATGCTGATGTCATCTAATAAAGACAGAATTGATACACTATTGTAGGGGGAGGAGAGGTATCATGGTGAGAGGCTGGTCCTGTCATTAAAGTGCCAAGTAAGAAATGTCTTCATCTTCAACCCCTTAATGTGGTAACTGGAGACATCTCGGAGGGTAAAACCTTGAAGTGCTTTAGAACTTTTTATTCCTATGATAATATTATCTTCATTGCTTTATCTCATCTGTGAGTTAATCCTGTTAAATTTGGCTTTTACCTTTGAAATACTGTAGGTAAACTATCATATGGGTGTTAATTTTACATTTTCTCTAGTATTCACACAACCATATGTAATGATGAACTGACTGCTTACTGTCTCACATCAACTAGAGAGCACATAGTTACATTCAATAATGATATGAATATGGCCTAAATTATTATTATTTTTTGCACATTAAGTGAACCAAATTTAGGGTTAAACAAGCATATACGTGCCAGTGTGTTCATTAAAAAAAACTTGGTGGATGGGCTCACGAGGGCTATTATTTTCTGTCACAACCTCACAAACAAGTCCTAAATTTGGCCAGAAAATTTTTTACCATTGGAACACGGTTGGATGTCTTTTAGAATGGGAAGAATTTTAAGGCCGGTTGGATAAGAAAATACAGTTTTGAATTAGTATAACATCCAGCACACTGCTTAGCTGCATCAGTTTTGAGATTCTAATTTACGACCTCGTTGGTCCATAGATGCAGTAATCGAATATTCAATCCTTACCAGTGTTTGTATCTCTCTAGGATCAAACATAAAGAGAATGATATATAATTTTCATGCTCGACAGAATTTTAAAGCTCATTATGTTGTATTTGACCTTTCCTATTTGGCATTCTCTGATGGCAGGCCTTCAAGGTGTTTTCAAGTGATGTTTAACCCAGTATTAGGCACACACACACAGTATGAACCCCATGGTGGACAAAAGGGTTAATGTTACTCCTAACATTATATGTTCAGTGTACCAGATACCTCGGTAACACGTACGTTGTGTTGCCGTCATATCTTGTGTTATTAAAACTTTGTGTTTACATTCACTGTCAATCATGTAGGGCAGAGGTTAGGTGCTGTCTTTCTAAATCAGAATGAGCTACGGATAATTTGCAAAATATCTGCTGTAATTTATATTTTCTTTTATCTTTTTTTTTTTTTTTATTTATTTTTTTTATGAAGTCAACAACTCATTTTGGTTTAAGATCAAGTACCTATTGAAGGAGAAAGTCAGGAAGGAATTACATAAATGTATCACCTAAATTAGCATGTGGACGAGCACTTGTTTGGGGGTGTTGAATGGTGATGTTGCATGACGGTGTACGGCCTACGCTTATCGGTGTTAATCCTTCATACAGAGGTAGATGTCCACACTGTTTTATTATGCATTGAAACTTATCTGTAGACACTGCTTACTGTTTAAAGTTGTAGTGTTTGCACTGTTGCCATCAAGTCAGACAGTGATTCAAATTTTGAATTTTTCAGGGTAATTTGTCAATTCTGATGACTAAAAGGTAGTTTATATTGCAATATATATGTATATTTAGATATAAATAAAACATGGGAGAGACTGTGGGTGTTGTCAGTCTCTTGAGGAATGAGAACTCCTGCACAACTACACCTGCAAGATACTTGCAGACTTCCTCAAGTACAGATAGGTGATTATTGTTAGCAGAATATCTTGGCTGTAATCTACAGATGGCTGAGGCTTTGAGGGAGACAGTGTGTCGGAGCATAAATGTAAATTAGCTTGTTTTGCTACAGTGGATACATCCACTTGCAGAAAATTTAGTACGTATTATCAGTATCACCGACATGCTCAACAAGGGGCATCTTTATTTATCGTCTGATGATTGGTATCAGTTGAGTGAGCTTTGTGTTTGCGAGTCATTTAAAGTTAATACGTTTCTTCTTAAGCACAGTGTTGAGGAAGTCTGTCAATGGCTTAAGGCTATAAGTGGCCATATTTCCTGCTTTATGTGTAACTGATCTAATGAGTGGGTTCTCTGCTGTCACTTGTCTATTTTATCTAGTTAAGAATAAATCTAAATTATTCTGTTTGAATGAAATGTGTGTACATGTTGGGAGCAGAAGTTCTTCAAGAATGTTGCTGTATTTTAGAAATGTGGACCAACTTCACTGAAACTTTGCACATAGATTAACTGTTTGAAACGAAGATTATTACATAATTTTTGTGTCAAATGAACTGGGCAAAAGGTCTCGGCAGAAATTCCTAATAAGATTGCCAAAGATTCCCAGAGAATAGTTCCATTCAAATTTTTGCCATCATATCATAAACCAGATGCATCTTTTATTATTTTGTACTTTTAAACCCAGTCTTTTGATAATCTTATACAGTATTGCAAATTACCAACGTAATAGCGATGAAGAAACTAGTTACTCATTGAGAAGTGTGTAATGGGAAATACCTGTATTCCGTAATGTCCATGTTACAGAAATTTTGTCTCACTAGATTCAGGCAAAGATGCAGGAGACCTACAGTATAGTAATAATTCCTTTTAGAAGCCTTTCTGTACCTGTCCAGTTGAATGTGAACAGCATAGCTCATCAACCTATCAAAGTGGTATTGGTGAAGTGTTCATATTTTCTCTGGAATGTTGATGTGCCTGTGCGGGGGTCTCACTAATAGGGTGAGTAGGATCCTTTGTGACTGTGTGTGATTCGATTGTCAGTTCCATATTGCTCTTCTTTTAAATTATTTGAGATCCATGGAAGAAGTTAGTGACATGAATTTTTATTTATTTATTTTTTTTGGAGAAAGCTGCAAATGTTGAAGATATAAAAAAGACAATAAGATTTGAACAGTAAGACATGAGGAACATAAATCTTGGGGCAATGTTATGGAAGGGGAACACCGTAGCAGAGTTCATGACAACAAATTACAGAAGAGGCTTAGGTTCCCCTTCACTCTTGACCACCCTGCATCATACTGAGAAAAGACTTGCTAAAGTAAAACAATACAGTATTGGCTGTTTAGAATGTATGGATATGTTTGTGTTAGTTGGAGAAGAAGATATAGTCACACTTTGTGCTAAATTCTGTACCATTTTGGAAAAGGGGACAAGTCATTGTTGTAGTAAATTTAGATCGGTGTACCATTGATTCCTTGGGTAGCCGCCCTCGCATTGTCTTAAAGCAACAAATTACATCTACATTGATACAATTAGTCAGGTTTCAGAATCAGCCGTAAGCATTATTAAAAGCTGAAACTAACTACTAAGATGGTATAGAATTGGGTCAGATTAGTGTTTGGTGTTGTATACCCCTCCTTAATCTCCATCCACATGTTTATCAGCTTCAGTATATTCCAACTAAAGTTTGTGGTTGCATTCAACAACACATTTCTGTTTACTTGATCTTTTCATAATTTATATGTGGTTGCAACTTATTACAATTTACAGGCAATATTTGATCAATGTGAGTGATGGAATGTAGTCTGGTATTACAGTATCTTGTCTACCATTAATATTTGTCAGCATATCTTTACTCTTCTGAGAATTGTTGTTGCTGTAAGAAATGTTATGGGTAGGTCCTTGTTACAGTAAAGAATAAATGACCGTGAATAAGGGAAAGTTTGTGTAGTTCTTGATTCCAGCTATTACCGTCACTAGTAAGGGAATACAAGTGGGGAACAAACAAGAAATAAAAGTTTAAAGAAATCCAGTGTGTGTGAGAGATTTAAACTAAGGAAAAATCCCTCTTCTTGTTTTTCATTAGTGTGTTGTAGGTACAGTATTAGTTAATATTTTTTCTCAATGTTTTTTTTTTTATATACTGATGATGTTTCTGAAGGTAAATGAAATAAAGTGCTTAGATTCAGGGTTATAGTAAAATATTGTAGGTATACAACAGTTATATTGGTCCGTGTTGTAGTCTTCAATTGTTTTATCTTGCATATTGTTTTTTTGTTTTTGTTTTTATACATCAGTTTTACTCTCAAAAAGTATTCTACCAGAGGCATTATTTTATTCAAATGTACTGTCCCTGGGAAACTTTTAGGCCCTGATTCTTAAATGTTGATGAATTTCTCTCTAAATGGCTGCTTCTCTTAACCTCCATATAACGAACTACTGTATATAGATATGAAAGTCTGTTATATTGAGGGTCCATTAATGTGAAACCCCCCGTCTAATGGATTATATAAAGTGAAAAGTCCGTTATATGGATGTTTCACTGTAAAACATCAACAATCTTTGCCCTTGAGTGTAATGTTGTCAGAGTTTGATGAATGATACACATAATTTCCTTTCAGATAAAAATACAATAATCAGGAATAGTGTTTATATACAGCAGTATGGTAGGGTTGTTGTGGTGACCTACAAGCTGGTGTCAATATATCGGTGGATTTTATAGGAGGCATATACTGTAGAACACAGGGCGAATTAGCCACTTTCCCGATTTTCCATTTCTGTGGATTCCCCCAAGGATACGATAGAGGCTACCAGGTGGTGAGAGCTTCCAAGATAAAGGCAACCTTGAAATGGGTAAGGTGGTGGGTGGAAGTTGCATATACTGTACAGTATATTGTCATTGAAAGAATATAAACTGATTTGGTGTACTGTAGTTGTATACTACTGCGTCCTGGGAAGAGTTTTTTTTTTTATGAAGAAGCAAGACGAGTATCTTAGGAGAAAGTGTTCAGTAAACAAAGGAGGAAAATCCTTACATAGTCCTTCTCGTTAATATTTTTTCCTCACCAAAGGATATGATCTATGTACAGGAGAAGGGGTACAGTACAGTATTGAGACTGCACGAATAATTGCACATGTTCTTTGTGAGATACAGTACTTAGCATTTTTGTGAGCTGCTTATTGTTAATTGGTTAACTGTTAACTGGTAGGCTGTTTTATATGTTTGCTTGTTGTTAAGTTTGTTTCATGTCTATGAGGTAGTATAATGTCAGATGAGAGGAAAAAAAATACATTTAAAGGTAATTCATTGATATTTACTATTTCTTGTAACTGTAATCTATTTTAATTAATATCTATTTTGCTCTTAGTAGTTTAACAAGTATTCATTTGCCATTTAACTCATTTATTCTTGTGTGTTGGCACGTACCGTACATCCAGTACTGTAGGGAGTTATTCTTCCGTAAAATAGGATCACAGCAGGACGGTGGTGATGACTTTTGGTAGTAAGTTAATATTGTATTGAATTGCTGTTAAAAGTTGTGTGGATTTAGAAATTAGATCAGGAGAAAAGTGCTCATGAAACCTGGCAGTTGAAGCACCTCTAGTCGGTAACAATAATCGTAACAAAATTACTTTAACAATACAGTATATATCAGAAGGAAACTGTGATTAACTGCCCAACTCAGGTATCTCCTCTGTTGCTTAATTTAAAGAAATGGTATCAGTAAAATGAACATACGTATTCAGGTAAATATGGGTGGAGAGGAATCCGTGGAATTTCTCTTCAGTTTGCATCTGCTCGAGTAATATGATACCAACTGGCCATTGGTAAAGTCATATTACACTTCTAATTTTGACAAGTCTTTATTTTTTTATTATTTTTGTTTGAGAATAAAAAATTTGACAATTTGATATTTGTTAAAATATGAAAATGTTCAGCAGAATAGATATTGTATTGATTATCATGTAGTGGGAGCTAACATTTTCATGGTAAATAGTGAACAGATTTACAAGTTACTGTATTTTGAAAACTGTATTACTGGTTCAACTTTAGCTTATAGTTGTACAGAGGCAGAAGCATTTGTTCACTATTGTATAAGGGAAGTTTCTTCACCTTTTCTCTATACCTGTATTGTATATGTACAGCGTACTGATACGTAGTTACAAAGATGTGTTGGAAAGCAGTTTCATAATTTCAGTCATGTTCTTTCCAACTTTTGACTTTGTAAAAACAGGACTGATTTGAGATGTCCTGTTCTATTCAAGTGCTGTGTATGCTTATTGTAATGCTAGTGGCTCACTGTAGTACCAACTGGTGTTGTGGATTTTGATGATGAGGATAAACAGACATAGCACCTTCACCCACTGCACACTGAGGTAACCCAAGTACAGTAAACAATACTGTATATGTAATATCAGAAATTTTAAAGCTTGGTCTCTTAAATTCAGTAAGTGTGAAAGAAATATTGAGGAATGGGGACATGCAAACAAAGACTGGAAGGCATTCTTTTGTCAGAATTTTTTTTTTAAATGATTGAGGAATGTAAAAAAGCTGAATGATGTAAAAATAATTTATATTGAGTAGCAAGTAGTGTATTGACAGGTTGATAAACATCAGACATTATTGAACTGTATTGCAAGGTGTTAACCACTGGTAAAGTAGGTATCAGTGTGTTCTTTGAGGTGGTGAATTACAATTTAACTTAAGAGATACAATAGAGGGAATTCTTTAACTTACTGCCTAAAGTCTCACTGTTTTACGGTACTTTATATGCTGCACTTGTAGAAAACCAAATCTTGGGGGATGGAATTAGTTCACGTATCATAATGGAAGAAGGTTATTTAAATTAAATAAGTTGGTTATAAATATTTGTTGAAATTATTTTTATATTTGTTTTGTAGAAAGATGTGGTTTTTGTTGAAGTGCATTGTTTATGTTTCATTTCATAAAAATATTTTAACTATTGATAGAATATCATGATTATGAATGGCTCATTTTGGTATTGTTGTCCTTGAGCAGAAGCACAGCGGAGTGACCGATGCGGCCATGCAGGCAGAACTTCAGCGGGGTCACTCTCTCCATCGGATGGGAGCCGCATCTTCTCCAACGTCGTGCCCACACGGAGGGGGCTCACCTGTACCGGGGATCATGTCCCCCTGTCCACCAACAGCCATGCTTGGGGGGTCCATAGCTGGGGGTTCACCTTGCCGGTCCCCGCTCCCCCCGTCACCAAGCCCTCATCACCAACAGAGCATCCCCTTGATCTCACCAACACCCTCTCCACCAGTTCCACCGACCACACCACCGTCAATACCAAGTAATTATGAATATGGTATTTATGTTCTGTTCATTTCGATATTTGTTTTGGGGAAAGTTTTTTGTTAGAGCATCCTATTATTGGTGGTACTCTCTTTTGTAAGACTAGTCTGGCTTCAGCAGTTGCTTTAATATTTGATTTAGTCCTCGTTATCAGCTACAGTGTTTACTTCTTTATACAAGTATTCCCTCAATGAAGGTGCTATTGGAAGATTGAACAAGTTGGATTTTGTTCTTATTAGATTCATATTGCTTTGCGTTTCTTGTGTATTACAAATCAAATCATTGACTTACTAGGTGAACTAAATAACAAATATAGCTTGAAGTGGAAAGTTTGTAAGGTTCATCCTTTATCTAGTGAGGTGTACAAATTCCTTTGTGTGCTTTGTTTAGTTTGTGTCATCTTTGACATACTCTTTGCCAGTCTGTGCAGATTATGTGGAACATTTAATTGCCTGGATATTTTTTTTTACTTGCCCTGACAAGGTTTTGGAGATAATTTGATTGCCTGGATTTTTTTAGGGGAAAGGTTAAATGAACATCTTGACTTTATTGTGTATCAACGCACACATCACTTGTGTCCTTGTAAATGGTGTCAGTGGCGGTATTTACCAGAAAATAATAGCTTGTCTGCCGGGCAAGTGCCAGGGCACATGGACATGAAAAAGTCACTTGTGCAGCCCCCTAGTCCAGGCATGCCGGGCACTGCTAATCTGCACAACTTTCTCTTTGTCGTGAAATCTCTCGGATCAAGTAACAAGCGACTATAATGGGCCATAGAAGAAAGTTTTTTTTTTTATTATTATTACTACTACTATGTTGCACTCCTTTACTAACAGTTATACATTACTGTATTGTTGTATTTGAGTAAGTTTCATTTAGACAAAGGTTATATGGTAACAAAGGAAGTACAAGGTATCTCTCTGACCCTGTGTTTGTTTTGTTACCATATAACATTGTTTACTTCTTTACCATTGATGTGTTGTTATGTTCACACACATTTGTTGAGTATGATAGATAATTTTGACGAGAAACAGTTCTAATTGTCATGTCATTTTGTCCTTGAGGTGATTATCTTTTTCTGAAGGCATTATCTTTTGTACCTGACAATGTGTGTGTGTGTGTGATGATGATTGTACATATCTGGCATTATATTTTTATTTTGTTATATGCTCTATGTTTAGCATCTTTTCCTTGAAATTTGTTTTACTTTCAAGTTACAGTTAATTTTAAAAGAAATATTATTATGAATTGGTGTTTTTATTTTTAGATTTGTCTTTGATTAGGTTAAGTTTATTTATTTAAGATAACAAGACTTCACCTCTCATTAGAAGTATCATTGATTTAATTACACTAGTTTAATTATTTATTTTTATGGCAAAAGTGTACCGTGATATTATTTGAGATTCATCACTGATTGATTGATTGATTGATTTGAATTATTTAAGGCATAGGTGCATCGTTACTTGTTCCATTTTTATTTTATTTCTACATTTAGTCTAGCAACACATCCTCACTTGATGTTTCTTCTCCCTGCAGGCAGCTGTGGCACAGAGGAGGTGTCTGTTGTCCCTTGTCACAGTTACATAGTTAGCCCTTGTAACATTTCCTCGTGCCGTTATACTCTACTCACCGAGATGCTTTATAATTTAATCCCTTATCAAGACCCTTACTCTGATACAGTAGTCAGTGTGCCACCTTTGGGATTAACCCGTAATGTGTTCATGTACTCCCTGAAAAAGGCAACTAACTCCTTAAAACTGTTTTACACTTGTACCCTTGTGGCTTAAATGGTGGCCCTGCTGTAGTAGTGCTTTGGTTAGGGGCCTGTTTAACTGATAATGGCTTCTTCCATTTAACTTGTTGGTGTTTGCAGTGATTTAATTTACCTATTATTTTGAGTGATAGGGAGTCACCCATTGTAACCTTTTGGATGTAGCAGACCTGTGGACGGTAGCAGACCTGTTTAGTACCGGTAGGATCTGGTTTTAATGTTTAGGAATAGGTTGTCGTTTAAGCGGTAGGACTTGGCTTTAATTGGTAGGAGATGCCTTTAACAACTAGAATAGGAATTTAACAGTAGGATTTGTGTTTTTAATATGATGTGGTTTTTCAGTGTAGATTTTGGTTTTAACATGTAAGTTGTGGATTACTTGCAGGATTTGGCTATAACTAGAATTATTAGTTTTCATTGTAGGATTTAGTTATTGTCAGTAGAGTTTAGTTGTTACCTTATAAAAGTTTAATTTTGTATGGTATACCCCCCCTGTACTTTGTTACTGTACTATTATGTCTTTTGATGAAAAATATAAGCACATAGTACATGTTGATAACAAAGTACAGGTACTGTACTTATTAATTATTAAATTATCATGAGTCAGTTAAGTCTTGAGGTGGTTGAGGCAGGAGGTGATTGTACGACACACAGTGTAAGCCGCCAAAAGTGGAGGGAGCGGAGGTTATTTATTCACTGCTAATTTCATTGACTATATGTACTGTACACTATTCATAGTTTTTAGACACTTCTGCTGCTTCCTCAGAGGCAGTTCTTGAGTTACTCATCTGTATCCCCACAGTGGCAGCCCCCGAGTTACACAAACTTTCCCTCATACTAACTGGATTTTGGTTGTTTTCTCCCGGGCTGGGGATACATATGGCTGGTCCTGGACCCCACTCCAGATTAAGCTAGTCAGGGTTAGAGGGCATTTAATCTCAATATCCAGCCACTTTCTTAGCTTTGAACAGGGCTTCCTATCTCAACATCACATTACACTCTATAGACGTCTTAATATGAATAACACACACACCTGTATATTTTCTGGTACTTGATACCTTCTTGTCAATTCCCCTACTCTTTCAACATTTAAATTGAGCCTCTGTTTTCACATACACTATATTCTCATTAGTAACTTGAGCACTTTTTGAATATAGGCCTGATTTCATCATAATCATTTAATTATCTTCTTAAATCAGGATTATTTGTAAACCATTAGTTTTTATTTTTTTTTGAAGATATGTGAAATATCAGGTATACCAGTATATACTGTACTGTGAATTGTTATTTTACACCTTATTGCAGGTTCCCCGCTACACCACAGTGGGAGTAGCATAGAGGGCACAGCACTCAGTTTGAGTCGACTGCACCTCCATCCCCCATCCTCACCTGCTGGTCTTCGTAGCCCATCACATCGCCAGTCACCTCCTCTGGTGTTGTCACCTCAGCCTGCATCTCCAGTGTCTTTGTTAAGCCCAGGTGCACCCCTGTCACCGCCACCACCAGGCCTCATACCACGGTCAGGGGCCTCGCCCCCACCACTTGGGTTGGATAGTATTCGAGAGGAACCTCCAAGAGGATGCCACATCTCTCATCGTGTACCTCGGAACACGCACACATTTACTCAAAACCCTCAGATTTCCATAACCGATACGAGTGGGGATCAGGTGATTTTTGGGTCGTCGTCAGACTCTTCACCTGATGTGTCAGATGATATGGATTCCTTGCCTTTTCATTCACCTCCACCTTCAGACCACATCCCTTTATATTCCAAGCAGTTAACAAAAGGCTTAAGTTTAGACTCTTCGCCATTACCATGTGTTGGCCAATATGACACACAAGGGCCATCCATAACGCGGGGAACAGCCGGTGGTTTTGCATCACGAAGACCCACAACCACGGACAACAACAATGTCCACAGAGTTCGCAATGAACGAAACTTGGTGCGACAAAATGCCATCACAGGAACCCCACGGCACCATATGCTTATTACTAATGTGGAGTTCAGACATAGCTTTCCTCCATTACACAATGGTGGAATGGGTGAAAGTGACACAGAAATGATAGATGTTAGTCCCTCGGGGGATCGATCACCCCTTATGGAACGTGGAGTGATAGAATTGGAGTTGCCTAAAACTGGAAGTGGCTCTTTTTTACTGACCCTTCCAACAAAGTGGTCAGGTATGGCACAACAAGAGTTGGTAGGAAGTATAATGCATATTCTTGAGAGGCGAGCTCCTTCTATCATCCGGGAGGGGGTTCGAGACTGTGGCCTCTCAATAAGGGACCCAACTGGGGCCCAAGTGGACTTAGAGGTGCATGAGGGATCTGCGGCAGACTCCCGTGCCCTTAAGATGCGCAGAGTGTCTGGGGATGAGGACCAGTATACGCAACTCTGCCAACAGCTAGTTGACTGTATGAAAACCTAACATTGACTGTAATTTACTGTGTGTGATGTGGAAGTGTTTGTGTATGCGGATACTTCAGAGTGGAGTGAGTGCAATTGTCGACAAGTGTGTTGAAATCAGGAAATGGAAGCCCGAAGTATTTGGTAAGGCTTGTTTTCCTAATGACAACACCAAACACAGCCCCATAATGCAGTACTGTACTTGTTTTCCTGTTTACAAAACTGGACATAAACCTTATGGTGTCACTATTTTAGGCTTCAACTTTCTGATTGCAACACTTACTGACTTGTTTATTTGTTGTAATAGTAAAATCCATTTCTAATCTCTCTAAATAGACAGGAAAATTTCAACCAGACTAGTATTTCTTCTTTGTTAATTATTCTTTATTTTTTCTTCTGTTGGTTATTGATTATGATTGCATAAATAGAATGTTAATCTTTTCAAATTTTACAAAGGTACTCTCATGCCTGTCTATTTAGTATCATTTATAAGTTATGTTTGTGTATGTATGTTGTTACATTATAGAAATGTATTTCACATTTAGATGTTAAAATAGTTATTAAGGATTTCTCAGTGTCTTTCAGGATTTACAGCCATCATTTTCTTTTTAGAATCTTATTAACTGAAAATGACATTACTGATCAGAGCAGAAGTATCTGCATTTTAAGTGCATATTATATCCATTTAATTCTCTACAAGTTGCCTTCTGGACTGCATTCCATTGTTGTGGTTATTCTACTCTTTATTCAGATTTCTTGTATATCAAATGCCAAAAGTATGCAGGAAATATAAAGGCTTTGTGTCTGAATTACCATTTAAAAGTCCACAAAATCTAATCATTGTCAGTCTTCACAGCGTGGATAATGTTGAAATTCTGTTGTCACTTTGTTGATAAAGAATATCAAGCGCTTAAAAGATTTTGTGACAGCAGGTGGTGCTTCACTTGCAAGGTCTAAATATTCTTTAGGAAGTTGACACCAATACTGGATTTGGATTTTCAAATATATGTATATATGATTTTTCCCTCTGATTGGGGATAAGAGAACACGTCTAACTAGGTAAAGTTTCAGTGCAATTTCAACACCATTTTGAGCTGCCATCTTTGTGCTGTAACTTAAGTGAGATAATTAAATGGGGTCTTACACCACCACTCCTGGGAAAAGTTTAATGTAAACATGTGTTTGAGGCTCTGGCCCCAGTACTTTATCTGGTATGGGTTTGATGTTACAGTGTATTCAGTCTTCATGAACCTGAGGCCAGTGTTCTACTTGATGAAGTTCAGGCCTAGTGTTTGTTTATTTATTTATTTATTTTTTTTTAAAGTTGAAACCTGATGACTTCACTCTGTTTAGAGAAAATGCTGATATAAGCAAACTAAAGAGACAGGAAAGGGTAAATTTAGTCCCGACAATGTAAGGCTGGGTCTGTGTAATAAGCACGACTGTAGTGTCACTCCCTCAAAAAAATAACAGTTAATTGGCGGGATTGGGTGTAAATTAGGGAGGAACTATATATATATATATATATATATATATATATATATATATATATATATATATATATATATATATATATATATATATATTATATATATATATATTATATATATATATATATATATATATATATATATATCAGTGCAGTATATATGAATTTGGAGTAAAATCAGTCACTTGTATCAGTTTGTTGATAATAGGAATACACACAATTACATTATTAACTTCTCAGATAAATGAAACTAGTTGTGTTTACAGCACAGACTTAACCTGAAGACTTGCTTCTGTATTTCCACTGCTTTTGGAAATGCCCCTCAAAGTGCCAACTAAGTATTTCCTCTGGGTATCACTTAAGCTGCAATTGCATGAACCTAAAGGCAATATGGTCAACCCCCCTTAATCCAACACATTATGAATATTATAGCAGGTCCTGTCCTCACCTATGGCAATAAGTTATGAAATCAGTTAGTTCATATTATGACAAGAAAATTTAACCAAAGGTAATTTTAAAAGATTAGTTCATATTCTGCCTTTGTGGAATTGTTAATTTTAGTGTTGGAATAATGAGGGATGGCTACCCTGTGCTGATCCTGGCAACTTTAAGAAGACTTGGTGCTACTGGAGAGGATTAGGATCGATATTGGTTTGTGCTGGGTCTTTGCGTACAGACGCCTTGATATTGCTAGTCACATCTCTCTGGGTAATTTTCAAGCTTTTGTTAAGAGTATTTGAAGAATTAATATGAAAAACTAATTTCATGAGATTTACATTGGGTTTATATACAGTATATACAATTTTTTTTTAACTTGTGGATAAGTAATACAGTATAAGTAGTTAGAAATACTAAGATGAAGATGTAACTTTAGATGTGACCATATATTGCCACTAAAAAAATTTAAAACTTTGTTCAACAGAGGCCATAACAGACTATGATTCATTTTGATAATTGATATTGTTTAACTTTCTCACCCCAAAATAGCATTTTCCCCAACTTGGCTTTAGCTTATGTTTTATTAATAGGGTAAGTTGATAACATGAAATGTGTAAATTAGATACCTTGAACAAAATTCAATTGTTGTTGGAACCAAATTGAAAATTTATTTGTACAGTATTGATGAGAATACTTAAAATTAAGGGATCGTGGATGAGAAGCCATTAAATGTTTGTTTAGTGCATAATATTAGTATGAAGAGATTTACTATGAAGTGCTTGGAGGAGAATGTGTGAGTTCCACCCAGTTTTGAATGCTGGAAACTGCTTTGTAGATAACAAATTAACAAACATTATAATTAGTCCACCAGAGCTTAAAGATTTATGCTGGGAGCTATTGTTAAGTATGTATGTTAGTTGTCACTAGCTGTCAGACCATTGGTAAGGAGAAAACACTGGTGCTTGGGAGAAAGTTGCCAAATGTTACTGAATTATATTTTGTTTGATATGGAGAGATTCTCAGAGTCAGTGAACTTGACTCTCGGTAACCAACAAATATCACATTTATTGAGAGTAGCTTACTCATCAAGGAAAGGGAAAACTGATCAGTTGAGTATAAATTACAGTTTGTATGAAAATCACGTAGATTCTTTATTGTTAGGGATGTGTATGCATTACCATGGTGCAGTAGTAATGGTGTACCTCAACATGGGACACAGTCACCTTTATCCTCGGCCAAAGTATGTACAGCTCCTCCCCGACTTACGACGGGGTTAGGGACCCAAATCCAGGTCGTAAGTCGAAAATACTTAAATTGTACATAGAAAATCTAAAATGGGTGTCTTTTTCTTCTCAGCACCACAAAACTCTCACTTTTAAGCTTGCCAGCCATTTTAAAGTGAATTACAAATGAAAATTTTGTCTGTGTACTGACTTTGGGACTCGAAAATACGAAATTTGACGAAATTTGGGTACGACTGAGGCAGGTTGTAAGTCGGGGAGGAGCTGTAATAACCTAATTGTTTTACCTTGATATCAGTTTTACTTGTATTATTTATTTTTCAAACATTTTATTAGAGGTATACTTTGCCTTGGCACATTAACTATTTAATCGGGCCATCATAAGACGGTATATGTGTTAAAAATGTTAATTGTATGTATACGTTAATGTGTGTGCATTGATATTCAGCATTTGCACCTCAGAATTTATAGCTGGGTGACTCGTGTAGAATATTTCCCAAGCACAGTAATCTTGATTGATCTCTTACTCACTCATAATTAGACCCCAGTTGCTTTTATGATTATTTTCAAAATTTCACTGTGGTTTGACAGGAGTGTGTAAAAATGGATAAGCAGGTTAAACATTTTGTGAAACAAAAACAAAGTCAGCATTTACAAAAGTGGCAATTTATGGTGCTGTAGCCAATCAAGTACTGTACTGTACACAAAAACTGGAAGCAAGACCCAAACATGAACTACCATACTCTTGTCATGTAATTGCATATGTTGGAGCTGCTCTTGGTCTTTATATCCTTTGTTTTCCTCTTGCCACATTGACATTGTTGTTTATAATTATAGACCAAAATTAGTAGTCTGGAAATATATTTGAATCGATGCTCTGCAGAATATAACAATGCATCAGCTAAACCGATATCTCGGTTTTCCGGGATCCTCTTGGTTGGAATTTTGATCCTGTTGGACATCACATTTTAGGTTCACACTATAGCCTACCTCCTCGTTTAAATTTATCATATGGCAGAGATATGTGTAGAATACTTGATATGCATAGAATATTTGATATGTATATAATGTACTTGATATGCATAGAATACTTGATACAGTATGCATAGAATACTTGATATGCTTGAATAATGTCCATTAGCACCCGATGTCCCACAAGATTAGAATTTGGACCAACTGCCATTGCCTTGGTCGGGTTTTGTAGTTCAGCGGGACCCGACATATTGGGTCCATTTTATCTAGTCACGGAGTGCGGAGAATGGTTCCCCGCACCTCCATCATTCCATTTCTTCATCATTCCCAGTCATGTGTTTTGCATCTACAGACTTGAATATACATAACATGCTTTCATGCTTTACCTACTGTTATTAAGTTTGTCACACTATGAAGGATTTTGATGTGACATTTTATTTCTTATATTTTATGTAAAAAAGATTAGCTGTAGGGCATCACTTACCATTTCATTTTTTGATTATGATAAACAATATTTTATTATGTTGTATATTGTTATGTCATGTGTTTTCTGTTGTTTCATTTTTGCTTATTACCATTTTCGGTTAAATTTATTTTAGCCGAGCCACTTCCAGATATTGTTAGAAGACTTCATTCTTTAATGATGTGTATATTTCTATAATCTTACGTTCTATATATATATATATATATATATATATATATATATATATATATATATATATATATATATATATATATATATATATATATATATATATATATATATATATATATATATATATATATATATTTCTCTACATTCAGTTAAAGTTGGAGGGAATACTCAACTGCAGTTTAGTCTAAATACTGCGGCTGACAGTGAAACATAAGGGTTTGTTCAGTACTCGTACAAGTACCATCTCAGTGTGTATTGTTAATCCTTACTGATTGTTATTTCCACCTGGTTAATTATATCCATTGTGATATTCATAATAATTAGCTTCACCATCAGTTTCACAGGTTATATATACTGTGCAGTACAGTATAAATATCGTTTCTGTAAAGTGTGCAGGATTTTTGCTGTTAAATACTGAACAAGTCCTGAAATTTCATGGGGAATCTGTAAATGAGTTGTCTGGTTATTAATACTGTATAGCAGCAAATTTGTATTTATTTTTTTTTAATACTGTAATGGGTTGGTTATCTCTGAAACATAATCCAGGGTGAAGAGCTTTGGGGAACATAATATTGTCCAAAGATTAAAATTGCACCTAAAATGATCTTGTATAGAACACAGCTGAAGAGTAACAATGTGGAAAGAAGTTAGGCCAATTGATTTTTGGAATTATGGTCAAGTCTGTAAACCATTATGCTGATCTTTATTTCTTATATTGGCATTTAATATTGGCTCTCCTCTTAGCTTTTAAAGTTTTCCGACACTGCTTGTTTATTGTGACAGATGAGAGGGTTTTAGGGCCTTACTTTTTGTCAGCATTCAACTGTCAGAATTTGTCTGTACATGATTATTAAAAAGGATGTAACACTTGCCCCAATTTATTATGCAGTTTGTTGCGGAATAAGTCGACAGTCTTAAAGGAACCTCTTTAGTGGGAGTAACTTGAAACTTATTAACATAGACCCATAATTATATTCTGAATCTTGCATTAATGTTAAGTCTTGAGCACAACCTGTGGGATTTGATCCACTTTCTTAGAGATTAGGGGAGAATGTAACTGCTGACCAAGAGTATGATTAGTACCCCTTTCACTCAGGTAAACTAGCAGCTAATGTTTAAGACTTAACCTTGAGAATAGATTGGATTCTTCTTGGATGTGAAGAGATGTTATACCATAGTTGGAAATGCCTGCAAAATAATAACTTTTTTCTCTTTCTCTCATAGGCTCCTACACTTTCACTGGCTAAGAATCATTGTTATTATTGTATTCGTATTTCATGCCTTTCTCTTCATTTAATCACAACCCAAAAATTCCTTGCAACTCTCTTTTATTTGCAAAGTTACTGTAAACCTGGTACTATGATGTCATCCAACACTCCTAGTAGATATACATGAAAGTCCATCACTGAGAGTCTGAGTTCTAGTGTAGAATTTTGTTGGGTAAGATTTTCTCAGGTTATAAGATAGGAAATCTAATCCAACCAGTGTCTAAAACGGCTCAAACTGAGTAATGGGGTGAGTATGC